TAAGTTAACAGAGACGGAAGCCACAGTAAGTGGGACAGGATCCCTAATTGACTCCCTGGGATCCAGTTCTGGGGCCCACCGCTACTTGACCATCTCCAACCTCCAGTCTGAAGATGAGTCTGACTATTACTGTGCGGCATGGGACAGCAGTGGTAATGCTCACAGTGACACAAGCCAATGGGAAAGTGGGACAAAAACCCTCTTCCTCGTCTGTGTCACACTCTCTTTGGACCCAAACAGGACAGGAGACGAAGCCAAGAGCAGGGCTGGCCTAGCTCCCCAGACCTCAGATCCTCAAGCTGCCCTTCCTTAGCCTCAGGCAGTTGTGCAGAGGGTGGGACAGCAGTGGTCAGTCTCACAAGACTGGGCTGACCTTGTGTTTGCAGGGCCTGCATGTGAATTGGAGACAGAGAGTGTGAGTGGAAGGACACACTGCCCAGGACATGCATCCCATGGTAACGGACCCTGATAATGCTTCATGGGGACTGGGCCTCTCACTGGTCACCAGTCCTGGGTTTGTCCCCAGAACTACCCAGCTTAGCTGAGCTCAGGAAACCCCAGGCTGTCCTGGCAGCCTGTGCTCAGAACACACCAAACCCTTGCAGAGGACACAGAGGATCCACCTGCATCCCCCCTTCAGGGCTGGCCCTCCCTCCCTCCCCTGCTGGGTCCTGGCAGCTCACAGCAGCGCCCTCACAGGGAAGTGCTCCTGGTGGAGAGGACACACCTGGCAAGTCACGCCCCCCTCAGAGTGTGGCTCAATGTCAGGATGATCTTGCAGGGCCTCACATCTGAGACCTCAGTTGTCAATACATTGCAGGTCCCCACTCTTGCCTCTCACCTTCACTCCAGAAAGATCACCCCTAACCTTCCTGCATGTGGTTCTCCAACCTCTATGTGCCCCCAGGGAACTGACTGCCCGTGTTCGAGAATCAGATCACCACAGGTGTGAGGAGACCCCCGAGGGCAAAGACAACCACACAGAGACCACAGAGACTGCTTGCTGAGCTCACACACTCAGTCAGAAGTCACACTTGTCCCGCAGTAAGAGAGGACAAGTCTCAGTCAGGACTCCAGATTGACCTGTCAGAGAGCTGGGCCTTGAGGTGGGAAGACTCCTCACTGCTCACTGACTCCTCACTGCTGTGGTCCCACTGACGAATGTATAATCACAAATGACCAATGATCGAACTGTTCGAATTAACTCTAATGAATCTGCAATAACCTAGAATAGCAGACAAAATGTATATATAAATACAGTATTGTTCACCAACAAGGAAATATTCACCAAGTCCAGTATCCTATCAAATATTCCTGATTGGAAGCAAGAAAATACCAGCTATAATAAGCAACAAAACCAACCGATCGTCCTGTCCATAAAATTTTAGAAATGATTGAATAGTTAGTCAAGGATTTTAAGAACATTAATATTCCATTTCGTCCAGTGTGTAGGAGATGCTTGAACATGGTCACTGCAGACAAGGAGGACAAAATCCATGGCCAACTCAATACACAGATGCGGACGCTACAGTGTCTGAGACACAATAACCCTGATGTGACTGACAGCAGGTTCATCTCTGCAGAGGAGAAATAGTGACAGATGACGTGGGGGAGAAACTACAGAGAGGACACGAGACACAGACACGAAACCACATTGACTAAACACATGGAAGTGTCAGTGTGCGGGGGGGCACAAGGGGAGTCTCACAGCCTCACAATACAGTCATTGAAGGAGAGAAATTTGGGGGGAGGTAGAAAAATTAATTGAGGAAATATTGGCCAAAAAATACCAATATCAGTGAAGACTGACATCCTATAGATTCAAGAAACTCAACAAAACCCAAACATAAAACATACAGGAGACATCAATAAACATCACGATGAAATTCCTAAACCCAGTGTCGACGAGAAAATCACAAAAGCCTCAGAGACACGGGGCCCGTCCACGGAGAGGACGGAGCAGAGGGACCAGGGCAGAGGTCTCCCTGGAAACACCACAGGCGGGGGGAGAGGGGGGCAGAGTGTCTAGAAAACTAAAAGCAACAAGAAAACAACAAAAACCTGTCCAGTTTCAAGTCTTTACCCAATCAAAGTATCTTTCAAAAAAGCAAATTAAAACTCTCTCAGATGTGCAGACGCTTAGAGAACTGACACCGGCAGATGCTCTGTACCAGGAAGAGCAGAGGAACCGCCCGAGTCAGAGACAAATGGGGATCTACACAGAGAAATTAACAGCATCAGGTACCATTTCTCCATGGAAATAGAGAAACAATTTTGTCATACTAAATTCCATAAAAGGTATCTTGTTTAAGGCAAAAAAAATCACTAACAATGTATGTTGTGGTATATAATACATGATAAAGTATAAATATGACAGAGTTACCTCACAGGTTTGAGACGAAGAGGAGCCTGTTATGATAAACTCAGGTGTCTCACTCACATCTAGTTCAGGTCCCATGTTACATTTTCTCACAAGTGTGTGAGAAAATCACACCAGCAGGAGTGATGAGTTGTCAGAATTCTCTGAATCAGGAGAGAAGGTCCCGTGTGGCTTCCTGTGCAAACCAGAAGGGAAGCAGCAGCCCCTGTGTAGTGACAGTCCCTGTGGGTCACCTGCTCACTCACCTGGCTGACACAGGACAGGGGTCACAGTGCAGTGGCTCCTCCCTCCCCTGGGTCTCCCTTCAGCTGCTGTGACTCCTGGGCCAGGTGTGTGTGCTCAGTGTGACGTCAGTCCTGCCCCTCAGCCCTTAATGTGACAGATTCATGTCACATTTGGCCAACCTGGTTTGGACCACAGCCACCTTAGTTTCTCACTGTCCTTCCTGCTCAGACAGACCAGACCCTCCCCCAGGTCACGGACCCTGCTGTCCCCACACTCACTTCCTCCTGCTGCTTCCTCTTCCCACCCTGTTGGCAGCTCCAGGGTCCCCTCCAGAGAGACCCCTCCAGCCTCTCCCCACACAGGACCTGCCTGTCAGTTTGTGTCTGATCTCAACTAATTATGTGAATACTACAACAGCTGCACAGGTATTCCCCTGTAATTATTCTCATTTTTATTAATTTATTAGTGCCTATTATTTTCCTCACTAGTCAGGACATTTTTTTAATGCAAACACACACACGACAATAAGAGACGTGGGCAGACAGGAGCCTCTTTTCCTCCTGCAGCCACAGTCTGGGCCCGACAGGTGCTCCGCAGACACTCACCAGCCCTGCAAGGTCCCAAGTCCTTCCCCCTTTCTTCCAGGCCAAGCCTGAGAGTCAGGGTCGGCTTGTGAAGAGCTGTTAAACAACATGCCCATGTGAGACATCGGCCCTCACTCTAAACGCTCCCCGTTCAGGGCAGCAGATGAGGACGTGACCGTCACCGGGGTTACAGCGGCTCTCTGGGTGGGCAGTGCGCTGAGGACGGGAGGGTGAGAGCTGTTGTGCACAGTTGACTATTGTCCCCCACGTCCTGCCTGAAACCTCAGGATTGTTCATGAAAAGTGTCTTTAATAAAGCCGGATGCAGTTCGGCTTGGGGAAAAAAGAAGACAACATGCAAGTTGAAGGTGGCGGTGACTGTGCTGTGTCACCCACACCAGCGTGTCCACTGTGGGCTCCCATGTGCACACTGGCATCTGTGAGGCAGGACTGGTCCTGTTCACACGTCTCACCCAGGACGCAGTGACTGGCAGACAGAGTGGGGCTGAATCAGTGTTTGCTGGGTGAGTGTCTCCTGTCTCAGTCTTTGGGGAAGATGCCGACACGGCCCTATTTTGAGCCAGCGCTAGCGGTGGGCATCAGTGAGAGGCAGTCCCTCAGTCATGTGTCCCCCACGCAAGCCTCAGTATCACACCATCACCCCAGGGATGTGTCAGAGATACTTCAGGTGGGCCCACCCTCTCCTCCTCCCAATGAGCCTGTTCGTACTTTTATAGGTGACCTGAGACTCCTGTGCCTGGTCCTGAGGCCGGCAGTGGTTATGGAGAGAACAGCAATCCCCCCTGGGACCAGCAGTCCCTGGATCAGGGAGTTGCCACCTGAGCAGTGGGTTCAGACTCTGCACCTGGACAGAGCACACCCCTACTGCCCCTCCAGCCAGCTTGGGGAGGCCACCAGGGGGCAGCAGAGACTGCCCTGGCAAAGCCTCCTGGAGACTGGGAGGGCTTGGGCCTGAGGAATTCTACACTGCAGGGAGATTATTATCATTTATGTTTTGGAACTATCTGTCCATTTATTAATAATTAAGATATTTAATTGTGGTAAGACATGGTGAATATTAAGCACCACGTCACATCTTTAAAAAAAGCAGTAGGTTTTCTACAGTATTAACTTTGACACGGATAATATAACATACTGACTGTGAGTCTCTCAGATTGGGTTCTTGTAGAATTGGCCTGTGCATCTGTCTCAGGTCCAGGCACTTCATTCCTGTCCAGCCCACCCCATTCATGCTCACACTCTGTAACTGTCACACTTTTCCAAGCACTATGGCTGACCCTGGCACTAGCACACAGTGGTGACACTGTCCACAGGATCTATGACCTGTCCCAGGAGTTGAAACTGACTTGGAAACTTCCAGCATCTCGGGGGCTGCAAGTTCTCCTTATGCCCTGGGCAAGGTGGGACTGTCCTTCAGGCTGTGATGCTCACACACTGTCACTGTGGTGGGACCCTGCTCTGACCTCAGGCTCATATTGTCACAGCTACAGTTAACGCTCCATACTGGGTTCAGAACAGGCAGAAAGACATCACCTCTGACCTCGGCTGTGGTCAGACCTGACAAGTAGTAAGGCCATGAGACACTCTGGAATGGGCACGTCAGCTGCACACTGTGGTACCAGGTTATGAACTGGATCCTTTTGGAATGAGGTAGGGTCTTCAGGGACAGCCCACCCTTGCCAGTATATCTCAGGCTGAGCCCCCATCAGGAACCACACAGCTCCTCAGGCAGCTCCCCTGAGCCCTGGCTGATTTGCATACCCAGCAGCTATCCCTCCAGCAAGGGGATAAGAGAGGCCTGGGAGGAGAGCTGCCCAGCCTGGGGCCTCAGGGAGCAGAAGTGGGACGCCTCCGCCATGGCCTGGACCCCTCTCCTCCTCGGCCTCCTCGCTCACTGCACAGGTGCTGCCCATGGCTCCCAGCCTTTCCCAGCCCCAGGGGTCTAGACAACTCTCACCCTGATTCTGACGTCAGCCTATGAGCTTCAGGTGCCCCTGAACCAGCTGCAGGATGAGGGGATGGGGGTGCTGTACCCTCCACTGTGCTCACCGGTCTGACGGAGCCTGAGGGGCTGCACCTGCCAGGAGAAAGGGACAGGAGGGTTCTCATTTCTGCACAGGATTCATGCATCAGCTCATCAGTGCAACACGTGGGCTGAGACTGCTGGCCCAGTCTCAGAATCCCTGTAGATCTCTCCAGCACAGGCAGGCCCAGGTGTCCTGGGAAGGGGACCTTCATTCTTAAGCCCACCTCTCCTTTCCTCTCTTGCAGGGTCTGTGGCCTCCTATGAGGTGACACAGCCACCCTCGATGTCAGTGCAGCCAGGACAGACAGCCAGGATCACCTGCGGGGGAGACATTGGAAGTAAATATGCTTACTGGTACCAGCAGAAGCCCGGCCAGGCCCCTGTAACGGTCATCTATGGTGATAGCCGCCGGCCCTCAGGGATCCCTGACCGGTTCTCAGGCTCCAACTCGGGGAACACGGCCACCCTGACCATCAGCGGGGTCCAGGCCCAGGACGAGGCTGACTATTACTGTGCAGCATATAGTAGTGGTACTAATACTCACGGTGGCACAGGCAGAAGGGGAAGTGAGACAAAAACCTCAGTCAGAGTCACACTCCCCTCAGGCCCCAGGAGGACTGCAGACAAAGCCATGAGCAGCCTTGGCCCAGGCCCCATTTCTCAGGTCTCCCAGTGGCCCCTCCTCCCAGCCTCAGGCAGCTGTGCAGAGGGTGGGTCAGAACTGGATTCAGGGAGCAGGACCAGGCTGGCCTGATGTGTCTGTGCCACAGACTCAATTCTTAAAAGAGAGCCTCACAAAAGGTCAGCCTGCTTGAGTCCTGTGTCCAGAAGTGACGGTCCTACAATCCATATCATCGTGACTGGGCTGCTCCCTGTTAAAATGCTCTGGATTCATCCCCAGAGCTGCCAGCTCCACTGAGCTCCTGAGGCCCGGGCTCCGAGGCTGCCCAGGACTCTGAATGGAGCCGACCAGTGCAGCAGACACTGTGAGACTCCCTGGTGCCCAGTCGGGTCCCACCCGCCCACCACCACAGCTGCAGGCCCCCGGCTGCTCTCAGCTCGGCCCTCCCGGGAAGTGAAATGGTTACAGGGAACTGCCCCCCGGTTCAGCACTGTCTCTGGGTATGACTCAGGCCTAGTGACAGCTGGAGGACAGGAAATGGGTGGGATTAATTTACAGGATATATTCTGTTTAATTCTGTTAGTGGAAATGTTTCCATATAAATTAAATATTAAAATGTTGATAATTTTATATTATTTCATCATAAATCTTAAAATCTGGTGGGCGTTTCAGACTACAGCACCTCCTACTGGAACCGCCCACATTTCATCCTCAGGAGGTGCATGTGGCTTGTGGACACCACATTGGTCAGAGCAGGTCAGATGGGAGATGTGTCCTCATTGGGCTGGGGGCAGAGGACAGTGTCAGTGACCCTGCAGTGCATCCTTGCAGCCACCAGGGCATGAGGAGGGCGGGGATCCTGTGACCACACATCACTAGGGGAAGAATGTCTGCTCCACTTGCCAACTACACCGGAAATATTGACGACAATATGAGGAAATTATTATATCGTGTCCACACTCCTCTTACCCTCAAGGACCTGATATTAAATACAAGTACAATTTTAAACATGATTCTGAACCATTGAGCACATTTTTCTTATTAGTGGAATGAATGACACAGTCTATATACATTTGTAAGTAGTTGTTGCTACAGGAAATTCCCTCACTGGGCAGATCATTCCTATAAACATCAACACAAGCCATAAGGTATACTTTGTGCAGAGATCTGGAGGGAAGGAGGGTACTAGATTGATTTTATTGATGTGGAATCACATGCTATTTTCCGCAGTTGGATATATTTCTCTAACTCACAAGCACAGATCACTGTTTGAAGGTGAAACCTCCCAGGGTGGCACTCACAGGTGACCTCCCAGGGGGTCAGGAGACCCACAGCACAGGTGTGAGCACTGGGCTGCAGGAGTGGCCAGCGGGACCCATGGGGACCCTGAGGTGTGAGTGTGAGGAGTGGACGCCCTTGGGTGGGAAGGGCAGAGAGGAGCTACTGTGGTCCCCTCAGCTGGGGACAGTGGGGGACATGTCTCAGGCACCAGACCCTGGTCCCCTCTCCATTGTCTCTCAGACCAAACTCTGAGGAGTGAGTGACGGGTCTGCCTCTCTGTCTGTCTGTCTGTGCACATGAATTCAGTGCTGCACCATCACCCCCAAGCACAATGCCTCCAGCATTTTGTACATGAATGTGTTTCATCGAATCCTCAGCAATATTGGCCTGAAAGCACATACACTTGCTCAGGACATGAAGTGAAACACGCTTTCCTGCCAATGGTGTTCCATAAAAATGAAAGGTATCATTCCTTACAGTTGTAGTTGTTTAAATCCAGTGCCCTTGATCATGTTGCAAAAGAATCCTGAATTGCACAAGGTGCCTCACCAGTAACTTGATTCCCAGTGTCCCGCTGGCATCTGATCCTGTCCTGTCTAGCAGGCAGCAGAGGGACTGTCCCCATGTTTGTGCACAGACCGTCCATGTTCACTGGGAAACACAGACCCACGACCGTGAAGAACTGAGTTGTCTTTAGAACAGACTCCGGAGGACAGAGCACCTGCACACAGAAGGCAGGGCTGTGACTCAGGGACTCGGGAGTGTGGGACCTGGGACCAGGGAGGAGGGAAATAAGGGACATGGAGAGGGGGCAGGCAGGGAGGGGATCCACAGGTCAGGCTCTGAGGTCCAGCTCCTGGATTGGAGTCTTGACTCAGCATCACTGTCTGGGGGGCTCTGGGAAAATCATACCCTCCCAGTGAGGGCACCCTGCTCATCAGACAGGAGGAGGACCTGGGCCTTCAGCATGGGGGTGATGTTGGGTTGTTACGGTGTCAGGTGAGGGGTGCATGGAAAACATTCATCCTCGAGGGTCAGTGTCTACTGGGGGCATAAGCAGCCATTCAGATGAGCTACACACACAGGGAGGCTGGAACCAAACACAAGCCCAGCTGCTTACGGCTTCAAAGCCGATACCAGAGAGACCGGTGCTGATGTCAAGGAGGGTGGTTCATTCAGGTGCCGGACACCGGGAGATGGGGGACGCATGCCTCAAAGCTCATGTCCGCCTCTCAGTGGAGCAGATTTTTACAAGGAGGGAGAGGGGAGAGAGAAAAGAGGTGAAGGGAGCGGATTGAAAAGCTCTCTACGTGCAGATGAGCACAGTCCAACCCGACAAGGCTGATGGTCCTGTGTGGGTCATCCCGGTGTAGTTGTCCCGGCTTCACCTCATCCCGACACATCACCCGACTCCAAGGTTGGGGGTCTACAGATCTCCCAAAGCTGAGAGTCTGTATCTTCTGATGTTAGTTCCTGGGGTTCTTATACAAACAAGCTGTTTATCTACAAGATTCATATTAGTCAGTGTCCGAACTTACAGAAACAATGTCAAAAGGATGGGGGGAGTGGGTTAGAATTCCCCACTGCTACAGTTCCCACTGATCCAGAGTGACATTCATCCTGGGAGCACCAGGGGGCACTGTGGGTCTTGATTTGGGCACCCATAATAGGTCCAAGTCCCCTGGGCAGTGCACAGTGCAAAGGGCCTGACTGAGGTTTCTTTGAAGACACCCCTGTCGGGTAAAATCAACTCTTAACACTGAAACCAACACCAGGACCTTCTTCTGGCCTCAGGAAATTACCATTGGGAGGCTGTTAGGCTCAGACTAGAGCTGAGACAGGCAAGGTGAGGAGCAGAAAACAGATTTGCATTCAATGCTCCTCCCCCTTGAGCTGCAAGGAGAGAAGATAATACAGGGGCTTGGAGAGGCCCAGGCCAGCTGGGCAGCCTCAGGGCAGAGCTCCTGGAAGCCCCTCCCACCATGGACTGGGCTCCCTTCTCCCTCCTGCCCCTGGTTTCTCCACAGGTCAGGGCATCCCTGGGCACACAGGGGTCCCACTCCCCAATAGTTTCCTTCCAAGCACAGTCCCGAGGGGCATCTGTCCAGTCTGGGTGCGTTTGGCATCATCCCCATGTTTTGTGTCTGCAGGTCTCTGTGCTGCACCTGTGCTGACCCAGCCCCCATCTGCTTCTGCCTCCCTGGGAGCCTCTGCCCAGCTCCCCTGCACCCTCAGCAGTGAGCACAGCAGCTACACCATTTGCTGGTATCATAAGAGACAAGGAAGTGGCCCTGGGTATGTGAAGTACATTAAGAGTGATGGAAGCCACAGCAGTGGGGGTCAGATCCCCTATCACTTCTCCGGCTCCAGCTCTGGGGCCAACTGCCACTTAACCATCTCCAATCTCCAGTGTGAGGATGAGGCTGAGAATGTCTGTGGTGAGAGTCATGCACAAGACGGCCTTTTCACAGAAGCTTCAGTGACATGGACAAAAGGAGTGAGGTCTAAACCTCCATCCCCCTTCCCCTCCCCCACAGGGACTTGGGCTAAGCTGTTCCCTGTCCTTGCCCAGGACCCTGAGACATTTACATCTTCCCCTGCAAATCCCATCATCATGTACTTCCTCCCCCACTGGGTAAAGTCACATGTGGTCACAATGTAGGTCATTTTCACAAAGCAACATCCTGTTTCCCCCAATACAGGGCTGTAGGCAGGATTCTGGGGGAGACCCGAGCAGCCCAAGCAGGAACATGACTGTGGGCAAGTGGCTGGGCTGAGATGGCCCTGTCCTAGGGGCCATCTGGCCCTTTGCCCCCATCTTGGGGTTCTTCTCAGGGAAGGACTGTAGACCTTGGTGTTCCAGGGCTGACCTTGGAAGTGGGGACAGTGACTGTACTGACTCAGCACACCTGGAAGTGAAGCAGGAGTCCTTTGAGGTTAAGCAGGAAGCACTTGTCCCTCAGTGGAGGCAGGTCAGAGACCTGCCTCCAGTGAGGAATCAGAGCTGCGTTCTGGAGGGAAGCAGGTGCCTGTTGGGAGGTCTGGGGCAGGACCCACCTGGAGCACAGGCTGGACCCTCCAGCTGTGCCATATTCTCAGCTTGTGGTGCTAAGGAAGGCTCCACGTCTGCCCACGAGAGTTTTCTAGAGATAGGCCCAGGACAATGTCCACTGGGACATGGGGGATGAGAATCCTGTGGTGGAAAATGTCAGCGACCTCCTACCTCCAGTCTCTGCCCTGTGGGTCACTGGCCTCAGCCGCATGTATGGGGGGTTGGAGACAGGATTAGTGGGTGGGTTGATATTCTGCTGACTTTCCTGGGACTGAAATACCAGAACCTTTCACTCACACCGACACCACAGACTCAGCCTGGAGCAGCTGCGTAGACCACAGTGATCTGGTTCCTGCTCACAGGTAGGTGAGGGGCAAGGCCGGGCACCCACCTGAGCAGGTTCAGGTCAGTCCTGTCTCATGATTGTGGGATTCATCCCAGGACTTGTAGCTGGGATCTCCGGAATGGCCATCACGCGGTGTCACTGGTACAGTAGGGGAATAATTAAAGCCTGCTGAGCTCTTGATAGTAACTCCAGGGAGCAGCTGACACAGGTGCCAGGACCTGCCCTTGGAGGCAGCTGGAGGGGATGTGGCTGAGGGGGTGACAGGCAGGCTGGGCCGAAAGTGAGAGTGTGTGTGGTGAGCTGTCCCCTTCCCTTGACGCATTCTGCATCTCTCAGACTGTCACTCTCTGTCTCTGTCTCTGTCTCTGTCTGTCACTCTGGTGAAATCTGGGTTTCTCACTCTTGGTCAGGTTCTGTGTCATCCCTCCAGAGCAGCTGACCCTGTCTTACCTGACCCCGGGTCATGCACCCCTTCCTTCACTTTCTTCCTGTTCCAAGTGGTGTGTGTGCCTCTGTATCTGTCTGTCGTGTTCATCACCTCAGTGACTTGTGACGGTGAGCAGATCTTCAGGTGCCTGTTTTCACAGATCATCTTTTCATTTGGGGGGAAGTGTTTGATGAAATCATTGCACACTTGAAAATTTGGGTCCCCCTCCTTGTGCTTGTAAGTGGGAGCTTATAGATTTCTTCTTATGCATTTTATTTTATTCATTCATTCATTCACCCAAGGACAGATTTTTCATCTCTCTGAGGGACAGAGAGGAAGGTAGAGAGAGAAACATCCATGAGAGAGAGAAGCACTGATTGATTGCCTCCCATACACACCCAGACTCAGTATAAAGCCCATAACTTTATGATCAGAGGATGATGCTCTGACCAACTGAGCCACACTGGTCACAGCTAAGCCCTTCCATCCCACGTGCAGGCTCATGTGCCCACCACAGCGGTCAGGATTCCCCGCAGTCCCATCACACGTGGACTCTTCGTGTTTTCCTTTTACAACACCCACCTCCTCCCACCCAGACCCTTCCCCTGCCCCTCAGCCCTGCAGCCATCACCTGCTTCTCCATCTCTCAAATTCTGTCATTGGAAAATTGTGTATAAATAGAATTCTACAGAATGTAACATTTTGTGATTGTTTATTCATTCATCACATTTCCTTATAGACTCGTCACTGGTGTTGTGTGTACCAATAGTTCATTTTTTTTATGGCTGAATAGTATTCTGTGGTTCGCATGTACTGAAGTCTGTTTAACCATCATCCCAAAGGACATTTGAATTGTTTCCAGTTTGGGGCTCTTATTTGTAAGGGCGCTGGTAAGAAATGAGTGATTGTGTCTTCCGAAGTTCAGACATTGAAGTCCTTACTCCCAGTGTAGCTGCATGTGGAGACTCGGACTCTAGAGAAGTAATAAAAGCCACAGGATGTGTCATGGGTGGGGCTCTGGTCTGATGGGATCACTGGCCAGAGTGTTTCTCTCCCTTTCTCTGACTTTGAACTTTAAGCAACTCACTGGTGTTTGGTTACCACAGCCTGAGCTGACTAGACAGGTGCTGTGAACACTTGTGTTTGCGTTTCTATGTAAACATAAGTTTTTAATTTTCTGAAATAAATGCCCAATGATGCAGTGACTGGTTGTATGGTAACTGCATGTTCATGTTATACTAAGCACACGGCTGTTTGTCCACTGTGGCTCTGCCGTCTGACCTCCCTACTGGCACTGAGTGAGTGACCCGCTTCTTGCTGCCTGACCAGTGTCTGGTGCTGCCCCGATTTCACTTCAGTCAGTCTGCTCCGTGCTGACCGGTGTGCAGGTGTCTCGCTCTGGTTTTAACTTACCTTCCCTGGTGGTGACTGATGAACATTTTTCTCTATGTGCTTTTTGACATCCGTATATTTTTCCTTCAACTGTCTATTTAGGTAATTTGCCCATGTTCAAATAGAATTTTGTTTTGTTCACCTTTTAAAGTTTTTTAATGATTTGAGGAGAACACACCTCTGTTGCTCCACCCATCCACGCCCTCATTGGCCGACTCCCGTCTGCCCCTCAACCAGGGGTCAGACCCGAACTCCTGGTGCATTTGAACGCTGCTCCAGCCAACTGAGCCCCTGGCCAGGGCTGTATGCTGTGTGTATTAATTAGTTTGACACTTTATGCACATAGTTTCTTAATGGGTTTGGATTGCCAAGTGTTATCTCCCACTGTATTATTTTCTTAAAATAGCTCCATAGGGGATCATTTATAGAACAAAGTTTTTAATTTTTTTTAAGATTTTATTTATTTATTTTTAGAGAGGGAAGGGAGGGAGAAAGAGAGAGAGAAACATCAAGGTGTGGTTGCTGGGGGTCATGGCCTGCAACCCAGGCATGTACCCTGACTGGGAATCAAACATGCAACACTTGGGTTCGCAGCCCGCGCTCAATCCACTGAGCTACACCAGCCAGGACTCAAAGTTTTTAATTTTAAAGGGTTTCCACTTACTTTCTTTCTTTTTAGATGTCAAGCATTTCTGTGAAGTCTAAGAATTCTTGCCAAGACCAAGATGCAAAAATTTTTCCTTTTTCTAAAGTGTAATAGAAATTCCCCCAGAGGCACATGACCAGTGTCACTGTGTCCTGGAGCAAATTCCTGCCTCTTACACCAGCTTGACCACTGTCCCTACCGGCTCCTGTTTCCAGCACCCCCACCCCACACCGCACTGTGATCTCATCACTGGAGGGGTACAGGAATTTGATCTCATCACCTGTGGGTGCAGAGGCTGGTCAGGGGTCAGCACTGTCCCCTCAACACCACAGAGAGCTCTGAGCAACCATGGTGCAGACCTGGAGGTGAGGACTCAACTTTAAACCCTCCATTGGCCCCAGCTGCTCTCTGCCCAGCAGGTGCCACTCAGGAAGGCTACAAGGGGAAGGAAGTGGATTTGCATGGAGCCCCTTATACAGGATAAGACAGGCCCCAAAGCCCCATCATCAGCTGTGGGTCAGAGGAAGATCCTGCAGCTTCTCCACCATGGCCTGGACCCCTCTCTTGCTCCCCCTCCTCACTCTCTGCACAGGTGCTTACTCCCAAGGCTAAGCCCCCACAGAAACCAGGGAGCAACCTGGCCCTGGGCTTTGCTCAGAACTGAGGATGTGCACCGTCCGGTAAGGAGACCCTCATCCTCACAGTCACCTCTCCTGTCCTCTCTTACAGGTTCCGTGGCCTCTTCTGAAGTGACTCAGCCCCCAGCCGTGTCTGTGAGCCCGGGACAGACAGCCAGGATCACCTGCCAGGGAGAGCTCATAAGGAGATATTATCCTGCCTGGTTGCAGCAGAAGCCAGGCCAGGCACCCATGCTGCTCATCTATGGTGACACGAATCGGACTTCAGTGATCCCTGACCGATTCTCTAGTTCTCACTCAGGGGACACGAACACCCTGACCATCAGCAGTGCCCGGGCTGAGGACGAGGCTGACTATTACTGTGCAGTGTGGAACAAAAACAGTAAAACTCACAGTGACACGGGCAGACGGGGAAGTGAGACAAAAACCTCAGTCTGTATCACACTCTCCTCAGGCTCCATGGGCACTGCTAACAAAGCCATGAGCAGCTTTGGCCCATGTCCCATTTCTCAGGTCTCCCAGCGGCCCTTCCTCCCAGCCTCAGGCAGCTTTGTAGAGAGTGATTCAGGAGTAGATTCAGGGCAGCAAGACCAGGCTGGCCTGCTGTGTCTGGGCCCCAGAATGAATTCTGAAAGGAGGGTCTGGCAAAACAACAGACTGCCAGAACCTGTGTACAGAGGTAACAGTCCTTGAATTTCTGCATCACAGTGATGGGGCCGCTCCAGGTGACATGGCCTGGATTCACCTCCAGAGCTGCCAGCTCAGCTGAGCTCCGCAAGCTCCAGGCTCCGTGGCCGCCCAGGACTCTGAATGGGGCCAACCAGTGTCTGCACACCCAGCACCCCTGCTGGAGCCCAGGTGACCAGGGCTGCGCCCTCACTGGGAAGTTCCCATGGGGCAGAGAATTGCCTCCCTCAGGGTCATTCTTCTCCCTGAGTGTGACCTAGACCCTGTAACCACCCGAGGCCCAAATCCAAGGCCCTGCCTCAGGTCAGAAGGCCCTAGCAGCCTCCAGCTGAGCCGCCCACTGTCACTGCTTTGCAGTTCCCAGGTCTTGCCTCTGAGCTTCCTTACAGAGACCCCCTGACACCTCCCTGAGTGAGGTTCTCCAGGTCAGAGGGAGTCTCCAGGGCCCCAGAGAGGAAATCACAGCCCAGGCGGAGCGTGTGGGAGAGGAGAGGGCCCCACAGAGAGGACACTCTGGGTGTCTGCAAACATTCCCACGAGACTGGTGAGCACACACGGGAGGAAACCAGCTGAGGCTGAGGAGGGAGCCCCCCAAGGACACAGGAGGGGACGGTCACAGGTCAGCACCCTGGCCTGTAGGGCTTGTGCCCAGTCGGGGGGCAGCTCCCAGTTCAGGCGTCAGGTGGACGAGTCAGAAGCTCTGTGCCCCACGGAGGGGAACTTAGTCCCAACCAAGGTCTGTGCTGGTGGCATCTCAGAAAGTGTCAGTGAGAGCAGGTGGACACAGGACGGATCTGTGACCAGTAAGTCACTGAACCCCAAATTGGAGTCCCCGACACAGGGGGACTCACATGTGTTCCAGATCCAACAGGAATCAGTCCTGTTGCCTGACCCCCTGTGAGACTTTCCTGCAAAGAATCAGGAAAACAGGGCTGTTATGAATGTAAAAACCACTTTGTCCAGAATGGCCCTGAAATGTCCTGGATGACACAATTTGTGGCCTAGGAGACAGAAAATGTGAGTATGATAATATTTCCTCCTGTCATAAGGGAGGATAAATGATTTGACATGGCAAGAGAAGACACAGAGGCCAAAAATCCAAACTGAAAGCCTTGATGTAAAAGTTATAATATTTGGGATCCGAAAGACACCAGATGAGACTGACAGCCCATGAGATGCTACCAGAGAAAACACTCAGCACTTATGTCAGAGCAACATCAACTATTCAAAATAAAGCAGAAAATAACAAAGACCAAGGTTAGACAGGGATCCCACCTTCTCTTCAAACACACTCGGTTTTAAAACACTTTCTCCACAATGCTGCAGGGTCTGGCAACTGAAAGAAGCTCAGTGTGACGAGGGCAGGACACCTCACCATCAAGACCTCAGTGGCCTAGGAAGGAGTTGGGGACACAGCAGGAGGAAGTGAGAGCTTCCATGGTGACTGAGGCCAGAGCAACAAGTTCCCTGGAATTCACTAAGATGCAGATGCAGCTGCAGCAGGGCTGGATGGACCCGGGAACCTGCCTGTCTGACTGTCCCCTCCTAGCACCAGACTGGGAGGGTTTCACTCTTGTCCACCTGCCACTCATATTCCCATGACAGTCACCACCAGAAAGCACTGTCTGTGAATCTCAGGAGACCTGCTCTCCTGCTCGTCTTCTTTTTCAGTGGTCTTAGGAAAGACAGACATGATCACCTGCCCCGGAGATTTACTGGATGAAAAATAACTCACTGGTACCAGAGAAGCCAAGCCAGGCCCCTGTGCTGGTCACTTATGAGGACAGCCAGGCACCTTCAGCGATCCCGGACGGATTCGCTGGCTCCAGCTCAGGGAAGACAGCCACCTTGGCAATCAGCAGAGCCCAGGCCCAGGAGGAGGCTGACTATCACTGTCAACCATGGGGCAGCAGTGGTACTGCTCACAATGACATTCAGAGATGGGGAAGTGGGACATGACCCCCTTCCCCATCGGTGTCACACTCTCCTCCAGCCCAAACGGGACCAGAGACAAAGCCATGAGCAGGTCTGTCCCAGGTCCCCAGACTGAGATCCTCAGGCTGCCCCTCCTCAGCCTCAGGCAGCTGTGCAGAGGGTGGGACAGCAGTGGATTCAGTCTCACAGGACAGGGCTGACCTGGGGTTTCCAGGGCCTGCATGTGAGTTGGAGACAGAGGGAAATTGTGGCAGGACAAAAAGCCAGAACACACATCCTGTGCAAATTGTCCCTGAATATCCTTGTAATGGTGACTGGGCCCCTCACTGGTCACCTGATCTGGGTTTGTACCCAGAACTACCCAGATCAGCAGAGCTCAGGAAGCTCTAGGATGTCCTGGCAGCCTGAACTCTGAACAGAGCAAACATGGGCGAGGACTCTGAGGATCCATCTACAACCCCTCCTCAGGGATAACCCTCCCTCCCTCCACTGCTGGGTCCTGGCAGCTCACAGCAGTGCCCTCACTAGGAAGTGCTCCTGGTGGAGAGGACCCACCCTACAAAGTCAGTCCCCTCTCAGAGTGTGGCTCAGGGTCAGGATAACCTTACAGGGCCTCCCAGCTGAGTCCTCAGTTGTCACCACATTTCAGGTTCCCACTCTTAACTCTCATGTTTACTCCGCTAAGATCACCCACAATCACAAATGCATGTGGTTCTCCATTCCCTCTGTGCGTCCAGGGAACTGACTGCCAGTTTGGTGAATCTGATCACCACATGTAACAGGGTGCAGCCAGGACCCTCCCTTGCAAAGAGGGATTTGTAATGGGGTCCAGAACTCAGGGTGTCCAGGAAATATTAAAAAGGTAGGATGTCCTCACCCCATGAGTCTGAACTGGGGGATGGGACCCATGGAGCAGGGCCAATGAGAGCTGTTCTGCAGAGCAACAGTTTTGCAAATAACCTCAGGCACAGTCATTTAGCATGTCTCTAACTGCAACTGGTTTCATGGATATGTTAAATGGCTGTGGCCTTGCCTTGAGCCAAGGAGATGGGAGTGACTTCCACCCAGGATGTCACTGGAAGGCAGCTCCCCATGGTTATAGGGCCTGTGCCTGCATGAGAGCTTGGAGATGACAGGCTCCATGCCATAGGGCCACACCTGCCTGGACAGGCAGCCCAGAGAAGCTGGAAAGATACGGGAGTGCTGGCAGGTGTAGCCCATCATGCGAGGAGTCGAAATGGGGCTGCAGAGGAAAATTGGGGCTGGGATTTAAACCCAGGGGCAGCAGCCATGAAAAAGTTTGCAACCTTGTGGCTTTGGGGCTCCCTTTGCCACGCAGCTTAGGAAGCCAGAAAGCAAGATGTAGCAGTGAGGCAGAGCTCTCTTTCTTAGTGATGTGGAAGCATGCAGGAGAGACGTTGTGGGAAGGAAAGGGGTGAAATGACTCTTGCTGGTGGGCCCGGAGAAGGTGCCACAGGGTTGTGGATTAAGAACTGGAGATCGCTGCAGCAACACAGCTGATGGTGCTGGGAGGTGAGGGAGGCTGGGCGGCGGAGCACGGATTACCTGAATGAACCCGGGACTCCCTGAGCCACGGTCCTCTATTTCTTTATCTGAGATATGGTACCCGGGACCGGGCAGAGGGGGAAAGAAAGATTGTGGCTTTGTGGGAATTCTAAGGGACTTTGAGGTCTCAATGAAGACACTCAGTCGTTACTCTAAGACTGTAGAACTTTTGAATAAATAATTTGTTTCCTTTTCATGGATCTCTGACATTGAGAGCTATAATTTGCTGGTGGTGGGCAAGGAGAACCTAGTACAGGGGGACCCATAGAGAAGGGGGTCCATTTGATAATAGTGTATCACCCCCCCCCGGGTCTGTTCTGTAACACACACCGTGTGAGGAAACACCCTGAGGCCAAAGAGAACCACACGTACACCAGAGAGACCTCTTGCCGAGCTCACACACACAACCACAAGTCACACTTGTCCCACAGTCGAAGAGGACATGTCCTAATCAGGCACCAGAGTCACCTGTCAAGGAGCTGAACCTCAAGGTGTGAAAACAGTACCCGACTCCTTGGACTGTTGTGTCACCTACAGGCGCAACTGACCAAGGATCACACTGTTTGCATTAACTCTAATGAGTCTGCAATAACCTAGAACAGCAGACAAAATACACATATAAACACAAGTATTGTTCACTAACAAGGAAGTATTCACCAAGTCTGATGTCACATCAAATATTCCTCATTGGAAGCAAGAAAATACCAGCTACAATAAGCAACAAAAACAAGCAGTTGTAGTGGCCATGAAATTTCACACATGATTGAATGGTTAGTCAAGGATTTTAAGAAAATTCGTATTGCATTTGTTCCGTGTGTAGGAGATGTTTGAACATGGTAATTGTAGACAAGGAGGACAAAAACCAAGGCCAAGTCAACACACAGATGCAGACACTACAGTGTCTGGGACACAATGACCCTGATGTGACTGACAGCAGGGTCATCTCCGCAGAGGAGAGATGAGAATAGACGAAGTGGAGGAGAAACTACAGAGAGGACATGAGACACAGACACGAAACCACACTGAATAAACACACGGAAGCGTCAGTGTGCGGGAGGGCACGGAGGGAACCTCACTGGCACGTGATCACAGGCTTTGAAGCAGAGAAGTTTTGGGGAAGGTAGGAAAAATATTTGAGGAAACACTGGGCAAAAATGTTCTGATTGCATAGAAAACTGAGATCCTACAGATCCAAGAACCTAGGCAAAACCCAAGCACAAAAACATATAAGAGACATCAACACACATCACAACCAAATTCCTAAACCCAGTGTTGACGAGAAAATCACAAAAGCCGCAGAGACTCGGGGGCCCGTCCACGGAGAGGACGGAGCAGAGGGACCAGGGCAGAGGTCTCCCTGGAAACACCACAGACGGGGGGAGAGGGGGGCAGAGAGTCTAGAAAACTAAAAGCAACAACAAAACTAAAACAAAAACCTGTCCACTTTCACGTCTTTACCCAGTGAAATTACCTTTAAAAAAAGGAAGGAAAGTGAAACTCTCTCAGATGTACAGACACTTAGAGAACTGACACCCACAGATGCTCTGTACCAGGAAGAGCAGGGGACCCGCCCGAGTCAGAGAGAAATGGGGATCTACACAGAGAAATTAATGGCATCTGGTATCGTTACCACAGGGATCAATATGAAATGTTTTGTCCTATTATATTCCATAACACACATCACTGTTTAGGCAAAAAAAACAACAACAATGTATGTTGTGGTTTATAATATATGATAAAGTAAAGCTATGACAATGTTACCTAAAGGTTTGAGAACCTCATATGATAAACTCAGGTGTCTCACTCACACCTAGTTCAGGGACAATGGGACACTTTCCCACAAGGTCATAACTTCGGCAGCAGGAGTGATGAGTTGTCAGAATTCTCGGAATCAGGAGAGAAGGTCCCGTGTGACTTCCTGTGCAAACCAGAAGGGAAGCAGCAGCCCCTGTGTAGTGACAGTCCCTGTGGGTCACCTGCTCACTCACATCACTGACACAGGACAGGAGTCACAGTGCAGTGGCTCCTCCTTCCCCAGGGTACCCCTCAGCAGCTCTGACTCCTGGGCCAGGTGTGTGTGCTCAGTGTGACGTCAGTCCTGCCACTCATCCCTTAATGTCACAGATTCATGTCACATTGGGCCCACTTGGTTTGGACCATAACCACCTTAGTTTCTCACTGTCCTTCCTGCTCAGACAGACAGACCCTCCCCCCAGGGCAGTGACCCTGCTCTCCCCACACTCACTCCCTCCTGCTGCTCCCTCTTCTCACCCTGATGGCAGCTCCAGGGTCCCCTCCAGAGAGACCCCTCCAGCCCCTCCCCACACAGGACCTGCCTGTCAGTTCTTATCTGATCTCAACTAATTATGTGAATACTACAACAGCTGCACAGTTATTCCCCTGTAATTATTCTCATTTTTTATTTATTTATTAGTGCCTATTATTTTCCTCACTAGTCAGGACATTTTTTTAATGCAAACGCACACACGACAATATGAGACGTGGGCAGACAGGAGCCTCTTTTTCTCTTGCAGCCACAAGTCTGGGCCCGACGGGTGTTCTGCAGACACTCACCAGCCCTGTGAGGTCCCAAGTCCTTCCCCCCTTTCTTCCAGGAAGTGCCTGAAAGTCAGGGTCAGCTTGTGAAGAGCTGTTAAACAACATGCCCATGTGAGACTTCGGCCCTCACTCTAAACGCTCCCCGTTCAGGGCAGCAGACAAGGACGTCCCCATGGTTACAGCGGCTCTCTGGGTGGGCAGTGCACTGAGGACGGGAGGGTGAGAGCTGTTGTGCACAGTTCACTGTTGTCCCCCACGTCCTGCCGGAAACCTCAGATTCGTTGTTCATGAAAAGTGTCTTTAATAAAGTCGGATGCAGTTCTGCTTGGGAAAAAAGCACACAGGTAGAAGGTGGCGGTGACTGTGCTGTGTCACCCACACCAGTGTGTCCACTGTGGGCTCCCATGTGCACACTGGCATCTGTGAGGCAGGACTGGTCCCATTCACACGTCTCACCCAGGATGCAGTGTCTGGCAGACAGAGTGGGGGCTGAATCAGTGTTTGCTGGGTGAGTGTCTCCTGTCTCAGTCTTTGGGGGCAGATGCTGACACGGCCCTATTTTGAGCCAGCGCTAGCAGTGGGCATCAGTGAGAGGCAGTCCCTCAGTCCTGTGTACCCCATGAAGGCCTCAGCATCACACAGGCACCCCAGGGATATGTCAGAGATGCTTCAGGTGGGCCCCACCCTCTCCTCCTCCCAATGAGCCTGTTCGTACTTTTATGGGTGATCTGAGCCTCCTGTGCCTGGTCTTGGGGCCGGTGGTGGTTATGGAGAGAACAGCAATCCCCCCTGGGACCCTCAGTCCCTGGATCAGGGAGTTGCCACCTGAGCAGTAGGTTCAGACTCTGCATCTGGACCCAGGCACACCTCCTCCCCCTGCATCCAGTGTGGGGAGGCCACCAGGGGGCAGCAGAGACCACCTGGCAAAGCCTCCTGGAGACTTGGAGGGCCTGGGCATGAGGAATTCGACCATGCAGGGGGATTATTATCATTTATGTTTTGGAACTATCTGTCCATTCATTAATAATTAAGATATTTAATTGTGGTAAGACATGGTGAATATTAAGCACCACGTCACATCTTTAAAGAGAGCAGCAGGTTTTCTACAGCATTAACTTTGACACGGATGATATAACATCCTGACTGTGAGTCTCTCAGATTGGGTTCTCATAGAATTGGCCTGTGCATCTGTCTCAGGTCCAGGCACTTCATTCCTGTCCAGCCCACCCCATTCGTGCTCACACTCTGTAACTGTCACACCTTTCCAAGCACTGGATCTGACCCTGGCACTGGCACACACTCGGGACACTGGGGCACAGCATCTATAACCTGTCCCAGGAGCTGAAACCAAGTTAGAAACTTCCAGAATCTCAGAGGCTCCAAGTTCTCCTTGTGCACTGAGCAAGGTGAGAATGTCCTACAGGTTCTGATGCTCACACACTGTCACTGGGTGGGACCCTGCTCTGTCCTCAAGCTCATATTGTCACCACTACAGTTAACGCTCTATAGGGGTCCAGAACGTGCAGACAGATGTCACCTCTGAGCTCTGCTGGGGCCAGCCCAGCCCAGGAGTGAGGCCCTGAGACAGTCTTGGGTGGAGATGTCAGCCTCTCACTGTGGTATAAGGATATGAACCAGAATCCCCTGGGAATGAGGTGGGGTCCCAAGGGACCACTACTCCCTTCCCTGAGTTGCTCAGGCTCATCCCCCAGCAGGAACCACACAGCTACTCAGGCAGCTACCCTGAGCCCTGGTTGATTTGCATACCCAGCAGCTGTCTCTCCAGCAAGGGGATAAGAGAAGCCTGGGAGGACAGCTGCCCAGCCTGGGGCCTCAGGGAGCAGAAGTGGGACACCTCCACCATGGCCTGGACCTCTCTCCTCCTCGGCCTCCTCGCTCACTGCACAGGTGCTGCCCATGGCTCCCAGCCTTTCCCAGCCCCAGGGGTCTAGACAACTCTCACCCTGATTCTGACCTCAGCCTATGAGATTCAGGTGCACCTGAACCAGCTGCAGGATGAGGGGATGGGGGTGCTGTACCCTCCACTGTGCTCACTGGTCTGAGTGAGCCTGAGGGGCTGCACCTGCCAGGAGAAAGGGACAGAAGGGTCCCCATTTCTTCACAGGTTTCATGGATCAGCTCATCAGTGGGACATGTGGGCTGAGACTCATGGCCCAGTCTCAGAATCCCTGTAGATCTTCCAACAAGGGCAGGCTCAGGTGTCCTGGGAAGGGGTCCTTCATCCTTAACCCCACCTCTCCTTTCCTCTCTTGCAGGGTCTGTGGCCTCCTATGAGGTGACACAGCCACCCTCGATGTCAGTGCAGCCAGGACAGACAGCCAGGATCACCTGTGGGGGAGACAACATTGGAAGAAAAAGTGTTGACTGGCTCCAGCAGAAGCCCAGCAAGGCCCCTGTAACCATCATCTACAGTGATAGCAGCAGGCCCTCAGGGATCCCTGACCGGTTCTCAGGCTCCAACTCGGGGAACACGGCCACCCTGACCATCAGCGGGGTCCAGGCCCAGGGACGAGGCTGACTATTACTGTGCAGCATGGGATGGTAGTACAAACACTCACGGTGGCACAGGCAGATGGGGAAGTGAGACAAAAACCTCAGTCTGTGTCAAGCTCTCCTCAGGCCCCAGGACGACCGCAGACAAAGCCATGGGTAGCTTTGGCCCAGGTACCCTTTCTCAGGTCTCCCAGTGGCCCCTCCTCCCAGCCTCAGTCAGCTGTGCAGAGGGTGGGTCAGGACTGGATTCAGGGGGCAGGACCAGGCTGGCCTCCTGTGTCTGTGACACAGAATCAATGCCAAAAAGAGGGCCTCACGAAAGGACAGCCTGCTTGAGTCCTGTGCCCAGAAGTGACGGTCCTACAATCCTTATTATCGTGACTGGGCTGCTCCTTGTGAAAATGCTCTGGATGCATCCCCAGAGCTGCCAGCTCCATGGAGCTCCTGAGGCCCGGGCTCCGAGGCCGCCCAGGACTCTGAATGGAGCCGACCAGTGCAGCAGACACTGTGAGATCCCCTGGTGCCCAGTCGGGTCCCACACGCCCACCACCACAGCTGCAGGCCCCCGGCTGCTCTCAGCCGGGCCCTCCCTGGGAGCGGGATGGTAGCAGGGAACTGTCCCCCCCACCCCCCACCCCTGTTCATCACTGTCTCTGGGTGTGACTCAGGTCTAGTGACAGCTGGAGGACAGGAAATGGGTGGGATTAGTTTACAGGATATATTGTGTTTAATTCTGTTAGTGGAAATGTTTCCATATAAATTAAATATTAAAATGTGGATAATCTTAAATTTTTTCATCATAAATCTTAAAATCTGGTGCACATTTCAGACTACAGCACCTCCTACTGGAACCGCCCACATTTCATCCTCAGGAGGTGCATGTGGCTTGTGGACACCACATTGGTCAGAGCAGGTCAGATGGGAGACGTGTCCTCGTTGGGCTGGGGGCAGAGGACAATGTCACTGACCCTGCAGTGCATCCTTGCAGCCACCAGGGCATGAGGAGGGCGGGGATCCTGTGACCAGATGTCACTAGGGGAGGAATGTCTGCTCCACTTGCCATCTACACCGGAAATATTGAGGACAGAACAAGGGGAATTATTATGTCACCTGTCCACACTACTTCTGTCCTCAAGGACCTGATATTAAATACAAGTACAATTTTAAACATGATTCTGAGCCATGGAGCACATTTTTCTTACTAGTGGAATGAATGACACAGTCTACATACATTTGTAAGTAGTTGTTGCTACAGGAAACTCCCTCACTGGGCAGATCATTCCCATAAACATCAACACAAGCCATAAGGTTATACTTTGTGCAGAGATCTGGAAGGAAGGAGGGTACTAGATGGATTTTATTGATTTGGGGGCCACATGCTGTGCCCCACAAAGGGATACATTTGCCTACCTCACATACACAGAATGTGTTTTGAAGGTGAAATCTCCCAGGGTGGCACTCACAGGTGACCTCCCAAGGTGGTCAGGAGACCCACAGCACAGGTGTGAGCACTGGCCTGCAGGGTCCCCATGGGGACCCTGAGGTGTGAGTGTGAGGAGTGGACGCCCTTGGGTGGGAGGGGCAGAGAGGAGCTGCTGTGGTCCTCTCAGCTGGGGGACAGTGGGGGGCATGTCTCAGGCACCAGACCCTTGTCCCCTCTCCACTGTCTCTCAGAACAAACTCAGGGAGTCAGTCAGGGGTCTGTCTGTCTGTCTGTGCACAGGAGTCACACCAGGCTGCACCTCACCTCCAAGGAAAATGCTCCAGCATTCCCCAGGTGAATTAATTGCATTAGATTCTCAGCAGTACTGGTGTGCAAACAAATACATTTGTTTGAGATATTAGGTAATAATGTGCCTTGCCAATCATATTTCTTAATATTAAAGATTTCCCTTCTTATTCTGACAGTCATCCAACCTCAATGGCCCTGACATTATTACAAAAGGCATTCTGTACAGATTCTCCCGAGGATCCCAACCTGATCCCCAATGTCTCGCTGTGTTGTCTGCGGTGGTGGAAGTGGCCCCACCTCCATACAAGAGAGACCAGGGTTTCACTGGAAAAGACAGATTCCAACACCGAGAAGATCCCAGCGCACTTCAGAGCAGACTCAGGGGGCGGAGCACCTGCAGACAGGAGGCATGGCCTTGACTCAGGGACTCAGGAGGATGGGATGTGGGACAGAGGAGGAGCAGGATAAGAGACCTGGAGAAGGGCTGGGCAGGGAGGAGATCCACAGGTCAGGCTCTGAGAACCAGCTCCTGCATCCCTGGATTGAAGCCTTGACTCAACATCACAGTCTGGGGGACTCTGGGGAAATCATAACCTTGCAAGGTTGGCCCCTGCTCATTGGAAGGTGCCTTCAGCACAAAGATCATGTTGAATAATTATGATGTCTGGTGAGGGGTGCAGGTCAAACACTCACCAACCATGTGACACCTATTAAGGCCTCCAAAGTAGTCAATAGGTTGAGCTACTCACATGGAGAAGGACATTCACCCTGGGGGCACAAGGGGGCACAGTGGGTCGTGCCTTGGGAACTCATAATGCAAATCTCCTGGGCTGTGCTCAGTGCAACGAGTGTAACTGATTCTCCTTGGAGACAGTTTTATTGGTTAAATTCAACTCTTAATGAAACCCACATCTGGACCTTCCTCCTCCTCTGGAAATTACCAGCAGGAAGCTGTCATGCTTGGGGTTGAGACACATCTGAGACAGATTTGCATTCATGGACCTCCCTGTTGAGCTGCAAGGACAGAGGACAATACAGGGGGCTTGGAGAGGCCAGGGCCAGCTGGGCAGCCTCAGGGCAGAGCTCCTGGAAGCCCCTCCCACCATGGACTGGGCTCCCTTCTCCCTCCTGCCCCTGGTTTTCTCCACAGGTCAGAGCATCCCTGAGCACTCAGGGGTCCCCTCCCCAATAGTTTCCTTCCAAGCACAGTCCCAAGGGGCATCCGTCCAGTCTGGGTGCCTTTGGAATCATCGCCATCTTTTGTGTCTGCAGGTCTCTGTGCTGCACGTGTACTGACCCAGCCTCCCTGGGAGCTTCCGCCCAGCTCCCCCGCACCCTCAGCAGTGAGCACAGACCCTACAGCATTCACTGATATCAACAGAGACCAGGAAATGGCCCTGGGTATGTGATGTACATTAAGAGTGATGGAAGCCACAGCAGTGGGGACAGGATTCCCGATCACTTCTCAGGCTCCAGCTCTGGGGCCAACTGCTACTTAACCATCTCCAGTCTCCAGTCTGAGGACGAGACTGAGTATATCTGTGGTGAGAGCCACACACACAACGGCCTTTTCACAGAAGCTGCGGTGACACATACAAAAGGGGAGTAAGAAAGGCCCAAACCTCCATCCCTCATCCCCTCCCCCACAGGGACTTGGGCTAAGCTGCTCCCTGTCCTTGCCCAGGACCCTGAGACATTTACGTCTTCCCCTGCAAATCCCCTCCTCCTGTACTTACTCCCGTCTGGGGAAAGTCACATATGGTCACAATGTAGTTCATTTTCACAAAGCAACGTCCTGTTTCCTTCAATACAGGGCACTATGCAGGACGCTGGGACAAACGCGAGCAGCCCAGACAGGAACATGACCCTGAACAAGTGGCTGGGCTGAGGTGACTGCATCTCCAGGAGCCATCGGGCCTTTGCTCCCATCTTGGGATTCTTCTCAAGGAAGGAACGCAGACCTTGGTGTTCCAGGTATGACCCTAGAAGTGGAGACAGTGACTGTATTGACTCGGGACACCTGGGAGTGAAGCAGGAGCGCTGTGAGGACTGAGGTTCTGCAGGAAGCATTTGTCCCTGAGCAGAGGCAGGACTGAGAGGCCTGATGCCGAGTTGAGAGCAGAGCTGGGTCGGGAGGGAAGCGGGTGCCTGTTGGGAGGTCTGGGGCAGGACCCATGTGGAGCTCGGGCTGGGTCCCCGAGCTGTGCCAGTTCTCAGCCTGTGGTGCCAAGGAAGGCTCCAGCTGTGGCCACAGAACATTTTTAGGGACAGATCAGGACAATGCCCAGTGGGACATGGGGGATGGGAAGCTGAGGTGGAAAATATGTCAACGACCTCCTACCTCCAGTCCCTGCCCTGTGGGTCACCAGCCTCAGCCGCATCTGTGGGGGGATGGAGACAGGATTAGTGGGTGGGTTGATATTCTGCTGACTTTCCCAGGAACTGAAATACCAGAATCTTTCACTCACACCGACACCATAGAGTCAGCCTGGAGCAGCTGCGTGGACCACAGTGACCTGGTGCCTGCTCACAGGTAGGTGATCAGAGTCACCTGAGCAGGTTCAGGCCAGTCCTGTCTCATGATTGTGGGATTCATCCCAGGACCTCAAGCTGGGATGTCCACCTGAGCGGACACCACACGGTGTCACTGGTACAGTAGGGGAATAATTAAAGCCTGCTGAGCTCTGGACAGTAACCCCAAGGAGCAGCTGACACAGGTGCCAGGACCTGCCCTTGGAGGCAGCTGGAGGGGATGTGGCTGAGGGGGTGACAGGCAGGCTGGGCCGAAAGTGAGAGTGTGTGTGGTGAGCTGTCCCCTTCCCTTGGTGCATTCTGCATCTCTCAGACTGTCACTCTCTGCCTCTGTCCGTCTGTCTGTCACTCTGGTGAAATCTGGGTTTCTCCCTGTTAGTCATGTTCTGTGTCATCCCTGCAGAGCAGCTGAGCCTGTCTTACCTGACCCCGTGTCCTGCACCCCTTCCTCCACTTTCTTCCTGTTCCACATGGTGTGTGTGCCTCTGTATCTGTCTGTCGTGCTCATCACCTTAGTGACTTGTGACGGTGAGCAGATCTTCAGGTGCCTATTTTCACACGTGCATCTTCTTTCTTGGTGAAGTGTTGGATCAGATCTACAGATATTTTAAATAATTTGGATCCTCCTGTTTTTGGGTGTGTGAGTGTGTATTTCTTATACAGTTTATTTGTTTGTTTGTTTGTTTATTATCCTCACCCAATAGCTTTTTTTCATTGTTTTAGTGACAGAGAAAGGGACCGAGAGGAGGGAGAGAGAGAAACATTGATGAGAGTGAGAAGCATTGATTGATTGCCTCCCATATGTACCCAGACCGGGGACTGAACTCACACCCTTGTGATCAGAGGATGATGGCCCAAGCAACTGGGCCACACTGGACACGGCTACACACTTCTCTCCCACGTGCCGGCTCATGCACCCACCACAGCGGTTAGGATTCCATGTGGTCCCATCACACGTGGACTCTTCGTGTTTCCCTTTCACAACACCCACCTCCTCCCACCCAGAGCCTCCCCCTGCCCCTCAGCCCTGCAGCCATCACCTGCTTCTCCATCTCTCAAATTCTGTCATTGGAAAATTGTGTAGAAATAGAATCCTACAGAATGTAATTTTTTTGATTGGTCATTTATTCATCGTATTTCCTCACATGCTCGTCAAGGATGTTGTGTTTATCAATAGTCCATTTTTTTGACTGATTAATATTCTGTGATTCACATGTACCAATGTCTGTTTAACCATCACCCCGAAGGAGTTCTGAATTGTTTTTAGATTGGGGCTCTTATGTGTAAGGGCGCTGGTATGAACTGAGTGTCTGTGTCTTCCGGAGTTCGGACGTTGAAGTCCTTGCTCCCAGTGTAGCTGTATGTGGAGACGGGGACTCCAAGGAAGTAATAAAAGCCAAAGGATGTGTCATGGGTGGGGCTCTGGCCTGGTGGGATCAATGTTCAGAGCCTCTGTCTCTGTCTCTCTCTCTGAATTCTAACTTTAAGCAACTCGGTGGTGTTTGTTAGCACAGCCTGAGCTGACTAGACAGGTGCTATGAACACTTGTGTATGGGTTTCTATATAAACATAAGTTTTTAATTTTCTGAAATAAATGTACAGTGATGCAGTGACTGGCTGTATGGTAACTGCATGTTCATGTTATACTAAGTACAGGGCTGTTTTTCCACTGTGGCTCTCCCGTCTGACCTCCCTACCGGCACTGAGTGAGTGACCCCCTTCTCGCTGCCTGACCAGTGTCTGGTGCTGCCCCGATTTCACTTCAGTCAGTCTGCTCCGTGCTGACCGGTGTGCAGGTGTCTCGCTTGGGTTTTAACTTACCTTCCCTGGTGGCTCCTGATGAACATTTTGTGTGTGTGTGTTTTGATATTTGTATATTTTTCCTTCAACTGTCTATTTCTGTCATTTGTCCATTATCAAATTGAATTTTGTTTGCTTTGTTTACTTTTTAAACTTTTTAAATGATTTGAGAAAACATGTGTCTGTTGCTCTGCCCATTCATGCCCTCATTGGCCGACTCCCGTCTGCACCTCCAACAGGGGTCAGATCCAAATCCTTCCTACATTTGGACACTACTCCAGCCAACTGAGCCCCCAGCTAGGGCTGCCTGCTTTGCATATTAATTAGTTTGAAACTTTATACACAGGGTTCCTTGATGGGTTGGGATTGCAAAGTGTTTTCTCCTACTTAACTGTTTTCTTAAATTAGCTCCATAAAGGGCCTTTTGTAGAACAAAGGTTTTAATTTTAAAGGGTTTCTATTTATTTTCTTTCTTTTTAGATGTCAAGCATTTCTATGAAGTCTAAGAATTCTTGTGAAGACCAAGAGGCAAAAGATTTTTCCTTTTTCTAAACTGTAATGGAAATTCCCCCAGAGGCATGTGACCAGTGTCATTGTCTCCTGGAGCAAAGTCTAGCCTCTTGCACCAGCTTGACCACTGTCCCTACCAGCTCCTGTTTCCAGCACCCCCACCCCACACCGCACTGTGATCTCATCCCTGGAGGGGACTGAGCGCTCTCCCCAAGACCAGAGAGGAAACTCAGCCCAGATATGGGTGCAGGGGCTGGTCAGGGGTCAGCACCTTCCCCTCAACACCACAGAGAGCTCTGAGCAAACTGGGCGCACCCCTGGAGGTGAGGACCCAGTTTTAAACCCTCCACTGGCCCCAGCTGCTCTCTGCCCAGCGGGTGCCACTCAGCAAGGCCACAAGGGGAAGGAAGTGGATTTGCATGGAGCCCCTTATGCAGGATAAGACAGGCCCCGAAGCCACATCGTCAGCTGTGGGTCAGAGGAAGATCCTGGGACTTCTCCACCATGGCCTGGACCCCTCTCCTGCTCCCCCTCCTCACTCTCTGCACAGGTGCTGACTCCCAAGGCTAAGCCCCCACACAAACTAGGGAGCAACCTGACCCTGAACTTTGCTCAGCATCAAGGACGTGGGCCATCTGCAAAGGAGACCCTCATCCTCACACTCACCTCTCCTGTCCTCCCTTACAGGTTTGGTGGCCTCTTCTGAAGTGACTCAGCCCCCAGCAGTGTCTGTGAACCTGGGACAGACAGCTAGGATCACCTGCCAGGGAGAGCTGGTAAGAAAATATTATCCTGCCTGGTTGCAGCAGAAGCCAGGCCAGGCACCCATGCTGCTCATCTATGATGACAAGAACCGGACTTCAGTGATCCCTGACCGATTCTCCAGTTCTCACTCAGGGGACACTAACACCCTGACCATCAGCGGCGCCCAGGCCCAGGACGAGGCTGACTACTACTGTGCAGAAAGTGATGGCAGTGGGAGCAGCTGGCGTTGACTCACAGTGATACCCACAGACAGAGAAGTGTGACAAAAACCTCCTTGTGTGTCACACTCTCCCCTGGTCCCATGAGGACTGTGGGCAAAGTCATGAGCATGTCTGGCTCAGGTCCCATTTCTCAGGTCCTCCAGAGGCCCCTCCTCCCAGCCTCAGGCAGCTGTGCAAGGGGAGGGTCAGGAGTGGATTCAGGGCTGGCAGGACCAGGCTGTCCTAGTGTGTCTCTGCCACAGTGTCACTTCCATTTAGAGGGACTGACAAGAGGACAGACTGCCATATTCCTGTGTTGCTGAAGCAACAGTCTTGAAATTCTACATCACGGTGACTGGGTCGCTCCTTTATGAAACGATCTGGACTCATCCCCAGAGCTGCCAGCTCAGCTGTGCTCCACACACCCCAGGCTCCGTGACGCCCAGGACTCTGAATGAGGTCAACCAGCGTCTGCACACCCAGCACCCCTGCTGGAGCCAGGTGACCAGGGCTATGCCCTCATTGGTCACCACTGGGAAAGTTCCCATGGGGCAGAGAATTGCCTCCCTCAGGATCATTTCTTTTCCCCAGTGTGACTCAGCCCCATGACTACATGATGCCAAGATCTACAGCCCTGCCTCAGGTCACATGACCTAGCAGCCTCCAGCTGAGTATTCCACTGTCACCGCTTTGTAATTCCTAGGTCATGCCTCTGAGGTTCCTCCCAGAGAGACCCCCTGACACCTCCCTGAGTGAGATTCTCCAGGTCAGAGGGAGTCTCCAGGGCCCCAGAGAGGAAATCACAGTCCAGGGGGAGTGTGTGGGAGAGGAGAGGGCCCCACAGAGAGGACACTCTGGGCGTCTGCAAACGTTCCCTGGAGACTGGTGAGCACACACGGGAGGAAAGCAGCTGAGGCTGAGGAGGGAGCCCCCCAAAGACACGGGAGAGGACCGTCACAGGTCAGCACCCCAGCCAGCAGGGCTTGTGCCCAGTCGGGAGCAGCTCCCAGTTCAGGCATCAGGTGGATGAGTCAGAAGCTCTGTGTCCCACGGAGGGGAACTTAGTCCCCAACCAAGGTCTGTGCTGGTGGCATCTCATAAAGTGTCAGTGAGAGCAGGTGGACACAGGATGGATCTGTGGCCAGTAAGTCACTGAACCCCAAATGGGAGTCCCCGACACAGGGAGACGCACACGTGTTCCAGATCCAACAGGAATCAGTCCCGTTGCCTGACCCCCTGTCAGACTTTCCTGCGAAGAATCAGGAAAACAGGGCTGTTATGAATGTAAAAACCACTTTGTCCAGAATGGCCCTGAAGTGGTCCAGATGACACCATTTGTGGGCAAGCAGACAGAAAATGTGACTGTAACAATATTTCCTCCATCACAAGGGAGGAAGAATGATTTGACTTGGCAAGAAAGACACAGAGGCCAAAAATCCAAACTGGAAACCTGGATATAAAAGCTGCAATATCAGGGATTGAAAATGCACGGGATGAGACTGACAGCCCATGAGATGCTACCAGAGAAAACACTCAGCACTTGCTGTCAGAGAAAGAATCTGTTCATAATGAAGCAGAAAGTAACACAGACCAAGGTCAGAAAGGGATCCCTCTTCTCCAAACACCTCCCATGTGACTGTTTGTAAAATACTTTTCTCCACGATATTACGGGGTCCAGCACCTGAATGAAGCTCAGTCTGATGAGGGCAGGTAGTTCAGCACCAAGACCCCAATGGCCCAGGAAGGAGTTGGGACAGAATAAGAGGAAGTGAGGGTTTCCATGGTGACTGAGACCAGAGCACACAGGTCCCCTGGGATGGACTAAGATGCAGATGCAGCTGCACCAGGGAAAAGTGGGCCAGGGAACCTGCCTGTTTGACAGTCCCTCCTAGGACCACACTGGGAGGGGCTTCGCTCCTGTCCACCTGCCACTCAAAGCTCAGTGACAGTCACCACAAGAAGACACCATCTGTCAATCACAGGGGACCTGCTCTCTCTCCCTCCCAGGCTCCTGGTGGTCTTCACCCTGCCCTCACTTCTGCCCACATCTGTCCCTGCCATCAGGGTTGGGGGCCATTCTGTCCTGACTTCTCTCTTCTCCCTGGACAGGCATGTGTGGCCCCTGGACAGATGGTGACCATATACTGTGCAGGAGCAACAGTGACATTGGACATTATAATTGTAACTGCTGATATAAACAGCCATTTAACACAGCCTAATGTGGCTGAGATAGAAGGTCAGGAACCAAACTGCACGACCCCAGGGGACAACACAGCCTCTCTGAGCCTCCCTCTGTGCTCCATGCAGCCCTGAGGCTTGTAATTATGGAGGTTCCCATGCAGGGCAGGGACGGGGCTCTTTGCCACAGTGTCCCAGTGCTGGGAAGGGGAGCACAGTCCATCCTGGGCTGGCCCTCCTCTCCCCCTGTCCCCTTCTGTGTTGTCACATCCCCTGACAGGAGAAACCTTCTATCTTCAAAGCTGAAGGAGTGAGTCCCTCTTCTCTCCCACCACATCGCCCAGTGTGTCCTTCTGAACACAAGCACATGAGGCCTCTTAAGACCAAACCAGCCTGCTAAGGTCTGTGTGCTCAGACGCAGAAGGATGGCGCAGGACAGGCAGGTGCATGTCGTGTCCCTACCCCACTGAACCTGGGTGTGACCAGAGCAGGGCCTCATCTGCAGATCCTGCCTCCAGCCATAGCCTGCACCCAGTCCTAGCACAGGCTCTCTCCTTCCAGGGTTCCAGGTCTGTCGTCTCTTCCCTACAGCTGCCTGGAGCTCTGCTAGAGCCTTGGGTCCTCCTGTGAAAGGGGACCCCTCCTCCTCCTCCTGCATCCCCATCTCTGCTCCCCGCAGGCAGGTGATCCCAGCTCCCACCCTCATCCTCCACAGGATACCGATGCCCACCTGGCTGACACCACCTTTCCCTTTAAGGTCCTGGAGAAGAGTCCCCTCCTCAGGGAGGCCATCCGTGATGCAAACACTGGGTGACACACTTTTCCTAAGGGAACTCATCAGACCCCGGGCCCCTCTGCAGCTCTGAGCACAGCCCCCATCTCGGCCGTCCCCTCCGGCCCCTCAGACTCAGTCCTGGGAGGGGAGACGCCCACAGGGCCCCGCAGAGCAGTGACTGGGAGCAGCTGCTCTCAGGGGGACCCCCACACTGGGCACTGCAGACGCTCCTGTGGGCCAGCACACACCCTGGGGACCTGTGAGCGTTCCTCACTGTGACCCCAGAAGGAGCTGCAAGGGGGACCCAGGTGCAGGGGAGACTGTGCTGTGTGGGGACAGAGGCAGCTCCTGGGAGCAGGGTCAGCCCCTCAGGGGAGGGAGCTCAGGGCAGGAGCCTCGCCCCAGGGAGTGGTGATCAGGGACACAGAAGCAGCTGGTGTCCTCAGACCTGTGTCCTTGGAGGGGACTGTGCAGGTGCTGGGGCTGCAGTCACAGACCCCACCACGGGGGTGACAATAGAGATTTACCATCTCAGATCTGAGAGTGACAGTGTGAGATCTGTGGTCCGCTGGGTCGGTGGTCTGTGGGCTGTGGGGGAGAGTCCCCCCTGCCTCCCTTCCAGCTGCTGGGGGTCCCTGGCATCTCTGCTGACCTCGGCTGACAGACTCTGCCTCCCTCCTCACAGGGTGGTCTCCCTGGGGAGCATCTGTCCCCACATTTCCCTTTTTATCATGTCACCCATCCAATGGGGTAAGGGCCCTCCATACTCCAGTGTGACCTGGTCTGAATTAATTTCACCCACAACTCTCATTTCTGGTTACCAGAACAGGGTGCTGGGGACAGTGACCTCCCGGGACTTGTGTAAAGGGCATTGCGTGTGTGCACAGATGAGTGTGTGTGTGACTACAGTGTGTGTGTGTGTGTGTGTGTGTGTGTGTGTGTGTGAGTGTTGCCAAGAAACACTTCCAGTGTCACATGTCCCACACCGTGGCCCTCGCTCCCCACCACTCTCTTCACCCATCACCCAGGGCCTTTGCCCTGCGTGCCCTGCCAGGACGGGCACGGAGGGCTTGGACGGGAGGGGACAGACACTCACTGCTGCCCCACAGGTGCCAGCCCCGCTCCCAGCACCTCAGTCCCTCAGCTGTGTGGCCGCAGGGGCTCTGTGTGCCACGAAGTCCCCTCCTCACTGCTGTCACAGACGGGAAGGCTGAGGCCCAGACGCAGTGGCCCTGGGCTGAGGTCACCACTGCAGAGTGGCAGCACACCGATGTCCTCTGACCCCAGGGTCCCTGGTCGTCACTACCGTCCCATCCTCTCTTTGTGCTCTCAGTGCTGAGATGTGTCTGCTCCTTAAGGTGCCAGAAAGTTCTCTCTGCTATTTCAAAAGCAGGTGATGGGTGCAGTGACTTACAGGGCGTCCTGTCCAGCAGAAATAAAACTGTGAACCGCACGTGTCACCTAAAGTTTCCCAGGAGCCACACTGACAAACAGGAAGAGACCAGTGGCATTAGTTTCATAGCAGATTTTGTTTAACTGCCTTAGTTGAAAGTATTATCATTTCAATGTGAATTAAATATAACATATTGATGTATTTTCCATTTTTCTTACACTGAGGTTTGGAAAACAGGGACATATTTCAGTGCCCCCCCCCCTGTGCACACGCAGCCTCTAATGTCAAGGGATGCAGGTTCCTCCACGGTGAGGGACTGAGCACTTGGAGCACCTGGGGACAGGAGGCAGGGCTGTGTCTCAGGGACTCAGGAGGCTGGGACCTGGGATGGGGAAGAGCAGGGTAAGGGACATGGAGAGGGGCCGAGCAGGGATGGGATTCACAGGTCAGGCTCCTGCATCCCTGGATTGGAGCCTTGACTCATCATGACTGTCTGGGGGGCTCTGGGAAAATCGTAACCTCAAAGTGAGGGTTCCCTGCTCATGAGACAGGACGAGGGGCTGGGCTGAGGTCGGGTTGGGGGTGCAGGTAACACACTCATCAAGGCTCAGCTTTCTGAGGGCTGAAAGTAATGAACACAGTCACTCCATTGAAGGAGCTATAAACTGAAGGATGTCACTCACACTGCGGACAGCAGGGGGCACTGTGGTACTGCCTTTGGGACTGAAAGGTCCCATTTCCACTGGGCTGTGCTCAGTGCAAGGGGTGTGTGTAATAAGCATCATTTGAAGACAGTTCCATTGGGTAGGATCAACCCTCCCCTATGAAACCCACACCTGCACCTTCTTCTGACCTCAGAAAATTACCAGCAGGAGGCTGTTAGGCTTGGGGTTGAAGCTAGAGCTGAGACAGATTTGCATTCATGCTCCTCCCTTTTGAGCTGCCAGGACAGAGGATAAGACAGGGGCTTGGAGAGGCCAGGGCCAGCTGGGCAGCCTCAGGGCAGAGCTCCTGGAAGCCCTTCCCACCATGGACTGGGCTCCCTTCTACTTTCTGTCCCTGGTTTTCTCCACAGGTCAGGGCATCCCTGGGCACTCAGGGATCTTGAACCGGGCTTTCCGTGTAATCATTGTTTCAGGGGCATCCGTCCATTTTGGGTGCATCTGGCATCATCCCCATGTTTTGTGCCTGCAGGTCTCTGTGCTGTGCCTGTGCTGACCCAGCCCCCGTCTGCTTCTGCCTCCCCGGGAGCCTCGGCCAAGCTCACCTGCACCCTCAGCAGCGAACACAGCAGCTACTACATTGAATGGCATCAGCAGCATCCAGGGAAGGCCCCTCGGTATGTGATGCAGCTTAAGAGTGACGGAAGCCCTGATCGCTTCTCAAAATTCAGCTCTGGGACCAACCACTACTTGATCATCTCCAACCTCCAGTCTGAGGACGAGGCTGAGTATATCTGCTCTGTAAGCTATAGTACTGGTGACCAAACTGGTTAAGCCACAGTGACACAGGCAAAGGGGAAGTGAGGCCAAAACCATCCTCCTCCTCTCCCACCTCCCCACGGGTTCTGAGAGATGTGCTCCCTCTCGTTCCCCAGGACCCTGAGTCCCTGACTCTTCTGGTTGACTGTCCCATCATCCTGCACCTCCTCCTGGGGACACCCCTAAGGAGAGGCAGATGCAGCTCATAGCTTAGGCTGACACAACTTCATCCGTAGCAACCATCTGGCCCTTTGCTCCCATCTTGGGGCTCCTCTCAAGGAAAGACCAAAGACCTTGCTGTCCCAGTGGTGACCTTGGAAGTGGGAAGAGTGACTGTATTGACTCAGGACATCTGAGAGTGAAGCAGGAGTCCTGTCAGGACTGAGGTCCGGCAGGAAGCATTTGTCCCTGAGCAGAGGCAGGACTGAGAGACCTGACACCCTGGTGAGGGCAGAGCTGGGTCTGGGAGGGAAACAGGTGGCTGTTGGCAGGGCTGCGTCAGGACCCATGTGGAACACAACCTGGGTCCTCCATCGGTGCCAGATTCTCAGCCTGTGGTACCAAGGAAAGCTTCGCATGTGCCCACAGGAGTTTTCTGGGGACGAGACAACACCACGTCCACGGGGGCAGCGGCAGAGCATGGGAAACGGGGACACTGGCATGAAATACATTCCTCACTGGTGACAAAGCTCAGCCCTGTGGGTGACCCTCCTCACATACACTTGGAAGTTGCAGGTCCCCTGGTGCACTAATTTCCTGTGCAACTTTTGTACAAACAGAAGACAAAGCATCTTTAACACACACCCCACCTTGGAGGCAACATGGAGCAGCCCACTCTCCACAGTAATACTGATTCCAGGACACTGATCTGAGCTGGCTCAGCTGGGATCTCAGGGCTGGTCCCCAGAGACTGACTCTGAGATGAAAGTCCAGGATCTGCCTGTGGCCTCTGGGGCCCCAAGGAGGCGGGAGAGGAGGAGGTGGGCTGGTCTCGGGATGGAGTGGACAGGGGGCAGAACGGGCAGGAGGACATGGACTCAGGCTCAGTCCTGCAGTGACCTCGGTCAGCCAAGGGGGCTGGATCACAGGGACCTGGGGCCATCTCCATCCCCCCCTCTCCAGTCAAATGTTGTTCTCTGCAAGGGACACAGGGACTTTGTCTCAAACAAGGCTCCCATGCGCCCTCTAGTGGGAGTGTCCTCCACCTCCCACACTGCAGGACAGCACGTGGGGAGGACTGTGAGGAATGAACCCAACCCGAGTGTGGACCACACCTCCTCCAGGTCTACGCGGGGCCTGTGGTGCAGGTAACGTGGAAGAAAGTCAGCAGTGGCCTCGATGGACAGACAGAGGGACGCCCCGTGTTAGTGACGACAGGGAGTGCAGAGGCAGCAGATGCAGGTCACCTCCTGCTGTGCTTAGATGGTGACCAGCCAGTGAGGCGGCTGCCACTTCTCGTCCCAGGTCACAGAAGGACAAGGCCCCTTAGAAGCCGTTTCTTCTGGTCAGGGATGTGACAGGGTCAGGGTCTCAGTGACACCACTGTCAGCTCTGTCATGTACAACTGACTTCTGCTGGTCTTGCTTGTGGCCTTGGCAGAGGCTCCAGAAAGAGCAGCTGAAACAGGCCCCAGGACCTGGCCAGGAGGCAGACAGAGCTGGGGAGAGAGGGACGGGGGCGCAGGGCCAGAGGGCGCCTGAGCAGAGGAGGCGACCTTCCCCCGCAGGTCCCTCTGCCGCTGCCTCGCTCCCTCTCTGCGTCTCTCTCTATCAGTCCGTTTGGGTTTTCGTTACTGGTGTATGGAATTGGTCAGTCTCTCTATCTTACGCTCCTGGTCCCTTTTCATTAACTCTCCCTTTACTTGCTTTCCCTTCCCAAGGTGTGCGTGTGCTTACAGTGATGTAAGTGTATATCAGGTGTGCGTTCATGTGTCCATCCCGGCAGTCGAGGCGGAGAGCACATCCCTGACCACGAGGGCCCCTGTTCTCCTTGTGTAACAGTGTCCACCTCCTCCCGCCCGGGAGCCCTTCCCTGCACCACGAATGAGTTCTTCGTTTCTAAAACTTCTCTTTGCAGAAATGGTCTATTGAAATAGAATAAACCAAATCTTATAGTAGTTCGCCATCTGGGATTGGCATATTTTCCGTTAGATTATACCCTGAGATTCCTGCAAATTGCTGTTATATTGAGTTTGTTCCTTTCCTTGCTGAGCAGAATTCTGTGGTCTGGGTGGGTCCCAGTCTGTTTGACACCCACCCGTGCAGAGAAGCCGGGAAGGTCCTCACCTTAGGAGACTGCGCACCAGGGTCCCAGGAACACACACGTGTGTGCGGTTTCTCTGTGGACATCAGTTTGCGGGGTCTGAACTGAGCGCCCTGAGCCGCAGTCGCTGGGCCGTGTGCGAACCACCGGTTTGCTGCTGTCAGAAGCCGCCAGACTCCTTCCCGTGTCGGTGCCGGTTCACACCCTCCGCCCCGGTGACCCCGTGTGTCCACGTGCTGCCGACACTGGGGCTGGTCGCCTTGTCTGCTTTACCATCTGGCAGGTGCGCGGTGATCCCCCCATGTTTTCACTCGAATTTCCCGGCTGGCTCCTGAGGGGCCTCTTCCCGGGTTCTTGCTGCCATTTTCTGTCTCTTCCGGGGCCTGTGTGTTCTTGTTCAGAAACCATCGACCAGTTTCTAAATGTGTTCAATCCGTTTCTTACCTTCTCACTGTTTATTTTTAAGAGCTTTCGATACTCTAGGATAAGTTTTTCATTTGATATTTAGTTTGAAAATGTTTTCTTGCACTTTCTTCTCCTTTTCATCCTCTTTCAACAACACTGCAAAGCAAAACAGTAACGGTGGTGCTGTCCAGGGTGGTCCACTTAGTCTTCCTTTAGTGAATCATGCCCCTGGGGTCATCGAGATATTTTGGAAATCTCTACATCCCCCCAAAACTACTATGTTTTCCTCCAAAACATAAGGAAAAAATAGTTCCTGGAAGGTATGTGACCTGTCATGCAAGCGGAAAAGACACCAGCATTCGGGCTGCCTGTCACTACCAAATCCAATAAGCAATGACAGTGATTGAATCTTTTATAGGCGCTTTATTCACATGGCTGGCGATCTGAGAAGATGGCGGGTTCATACCCTAACAAACCATCTTACTCTTTGTTTCCCAGCCAGATCTTTTATAAGGGGGTTGGGGGAGGGCAAACAAGGTGTCAGCGAAAGCCTTTGAAATTCAACAGTTGCCTCCAAGGGGGAAGGGTAGTCGCTTGCTTCTTCCTGGTACCAAGGTCTCCAGATGAAGTAATCCCCAGTCAGTGACCCAGGGGGTCAACTGCCAAATCCCAGGTGCCAGGATGGGTCTTATCTGCAGTTACTGAAACAAAAACTTAACATACACATTACTTGCTAGATTTATGACTATTTACCTTAAGCTCAATTTTCCCAAGTCTTAAACCCCTATCAGTCTCACAGGGTGTGATCATGGAATGTGACCTGTCCCACCCCAGCATGACCCCTGTTTCTATAAGCTCACCCTGCCCCTGGATGATCTCGTCACTAGAAAGGATGATGGACAGTTAGACCCAAGTCCAAGGAGGCTGCCCAGACATCAGACAGAGGTGAGGGTGCTGCCACTGGTTTGGGGGTCAGCACTGTCTCCCCCAACACCCCAGAGAGCCCTGGGGAGGCTGGGTACAGGCCTGGGAGTGAGGGCTTGAATGCAAAGGCTCTCTGCGCCCAGCTGGACTCTGCTCTGCTGCACCTGCGCAAGGAGGCCAAGGAGGGAGGAGGGGGATTTGCCTGAGGAGTCCCTGGCAGAGGGTAAGAGGGGCCCAGAGACCACACCCAGCTGCGGGCACAGAGGCAGAACTCAAGGAGCCACCAGCATGGCCTGGACCCCGCTCCTGCTGCCCCTGCTCACCCTCTGCACAGGTGCTTCCTCACAGGCCCTGCCTGCAGGCTCAGCCCCGGCGGGACCCTCAGCTGGACCTGCCCCACACCCTGAGCTCAGTCCAGGGGAGCCCCAAGGGGAACACCCTGTGCACAGATATTTATCCTCAGCCTCCTCCCCTCTCCTCTCTTACAGGCTCTGTGGCCTCCTATGAGCTGACCCAGTTGTCTCCCTTGTCCGTGGCCTTGGGAGAGACAGCCAGGATCACCTGCACCAGAGATTTACTGGATTAAAAATCCAGTTTTGTGAATTTAATCACCACATGTAACAGGGTGCAGCTGGGGCCCTCCACCCCAAAGAGGGATTTGTAAGGTGGTCCAGAACTCAGGGTGTCCAGAAATATTGAAAATATTGGATGTCCTCACCCCCACAAGCCTCAAATGGGAGATGAGACCCATGGAGCAGGGCCAATGAGAGCTGTTCTGCAGAGCAACAGTTTTGCAAATAACCTCGGTCACGGTCATTTAGCATGTCTCTAACTGTAACTGGTTTCATGGATATGTTAAATGGCTGTGGCCTTGCCTTGAGCCAGGGAGATGGGAGTGACTTCCACCCAGGATGTCACTGGAAGGCAGCTCCCCCTGGTTATAGGGCCTGTGCCTGCATGAGAGCTTGGAGATGACAGGCTCCGTGCCATCGTGCCACACCTGCCTGGACAGGCAGCCCAGAGAAGCTGGAAAGATACAGGAGTGCTGGCAGGTATAGCTGATCATGGGAGGAGTCACAAATGGAGCTGCAGAGGAAGATTGGGGCTGGGATTTAAACCCAGGGGCAGCAGCCATGAAAAAGTTTGGAACCTTGTGGCTTTGGGGCTCCCTTTGCCATGCAGCTTAGGAAGCCGGAAAGCAAGATGTAGCAGTGAGGCAGAGCTCTCTTTCTTAGTGATGTGGAAGCATGCAGGAGAGACGTTGTGGGAAGGAAAGGGGTAGAAGGACTCTTGCTGGTGGGCCAGGAGAAGGTGCCACAGGGTTGTGGATTAAGAACTGGAGATCGCTGCAGCAACACAGCTGATGGTGCTGGGAGCCGAGGGAGGCTGGGCGGCCGAGCACGGATTACCTGAATGAACCCGGGACTCCCTGAGCCACGGTCCTCTATTTCTTTATCTGAGATATGGTACCCGGGACCGGGCAGAGGGGGAAAGAAAGATTGTGGCTTTGTGGGAGTTCTAAGGGACTTTGAGGTCTCAATGAAGACACTCAGTCGTTACTCTAAGACTGTAGAACTTTTGAATAAATAATTTGTTTCCTTTTCACTGATCTCTGACATTGAGAGCTATAATTTGCTGGTGGTGGGCAAGGAGAACCTAGTACAGGGGGACCCATAGAGAAGGGGGTCCATTTGATAATAGTGTATCACCCCCCCCCCCGGGGTCTGTTCTGTAACACACACCGTGTGAGGAAACACCCTGAGGCCAAAGGGAACCACACGTACACCAGAGAGACCTCTTGCCGAGCTCACACACACAACCACAAGTCACACTTGTCCCACAGTCGAAGAGGACATGTCCTAATCAGGCACCAGAGTCACCTGTCAAGGAGCTGAACCTCAAGGTGTGAAAACAGTACCCGACTCCTTGGTACTGTTGTGTCACCTACAGGCGCAACTGACCGAGGATCACACTGTTTGCATTAACTCTAATGAGTCTGCAATAACCTAGAACAGCAGACAAAATACACATATAAACACAAGTATTGTTCACTAACAAGGAAGTATTCACCAAGTCTGATGTCACATCAAATATTCCTCATTGGAAGCAAGAAAATACCAGCTACAATAAGCAACAAAAACAAGCAGTTGTAGTGGCCATGAAATTTCACACATGATTGAATGGTTAGTCAAGGATTTTAAGAAAATTCGTATTGCATTTGTTCCATGTGTAGGAGATGTTTGAAGATGGTAATTGTAGACAAGGAGGACAAAAACCACGGCCAAGTCAACACACAGATGCAGACACTACAGTGTCTGGGACACAATGACCCTCATGTGACTGACAGCAGGGTCATCTCTGCAGAGGAGAGATGAGAATAGACGAAGTGGAGGAGAAACTACAGAGAGGACATGAGACACAGACACGAAACCACACTGAATAAACACACGGAAGCGTCAGTGTGCGGGAGGGCACGGAGGGAACCTCACTGGCACGTGATCACAGGCTTTGAAGCAGAGAAGTTTTGGGGAAGGTAGGAAAAATATTTGAGGAAACACTGGGCAAAAATGTTCTGATTGCATAGAAAACTGAGATCCTACAGATCCAAGAACCTAGGCAAAACCCAAGCACAAAAACATATAAGAGACATCAACACACATCACAACCAAATTCCTAAACCCAGTGTTGACGAGAAAATCACAAAAGCCGCAGAGACTCGGGGCCCGTCCACGGAGAGGACGGAGCAGAGGGACCAGGGCAGAGGTCTCCCTGGAAACACCACAGACGGGGGGAGAGGGGGGCAGAGAGTCTAGAAAACTAAAAGCAACAACAAAACTAAAACAAAAACCTGTCCACTTTCACGTCTTTACCCAGTGAAATTACCTTTAAAAAAGGAAGGAAAGTGAAACTCTCTCAGATGTACAGACACTTAGAGAACTGACACCCACAGATGCTCTGTACCAGGAAGAGCAGGGGACCCGCCCGAGTCAGAGAGAAATGGGGATCTACACAGAGAAATTAATGGCATCTGGTATCGTTACCACAGGGATCAATATGAAATGTTTTGTCCTATTATATTCCATAACACACATCACTGTTTAGGCAAAAAAACAACAACAATGTATGTTGTGGTTTATAATATATGATAAAGTAAAGCTATGACAATGTTACCTAAAGGTTTGAGAACCTCATATGATAAACTCAGGTGTCTCACTCACACCTAGTTCAGGGACAATGGGACACTTTCCCACAAGGTCATAACTTCGGCAGCAGGAGTGATGAGTTGTCAGAATTCTCGGAATCAGGAGAGAAGGTCCCGTGTGACTTCCTGTGCAAACCAGAAGGGAAGCAGCAGCCCCTGTGTAGTGACAGTCCCTGTGGGTCACCTGCTCACTCACATCACTGACACAGGACAGGAGTCACAGTGCAGTGGCTCCTCCTTCCCCAGGGTACCCCTCAGCAGCTCTGACTCCTGGGCCAGGTGTGTGTGCTCAGTGTGACGTCAGTCCTGCCACTCATCCCTTAATGTCACAGATTCATGTCACATTGGGCCCACTTGGTTTGGACCATAACCACCTTAGTTTCTCACTGTCCTTCCTGCTCAGACAGACAGACCCTCGCCCCAGGTCATGGACCCTGCTCTCCCCACACTCACTCCCTCCTGCTGCTCCCTCTTCTCACCCTGAGGGCAGCTCCAGGGTCCCCTCCAGAGAGACCCCTCCAGCCCCTCCCCACACAGGACCTGCCTGTCAGTTCTTATCTGATCTCAACTAATTATGTGAATACTACAACAGCTGCACAGTTATTCCCCTGTAATTATTCTCATTTTTTATTTATTTATTAGTGCCTATTATTTTCCTCACTAGTCAGGACATTTTTTTAATGCAAACGCACACAGAACAATAAGAGACGTGGGCAGACAGGAGCCTCTTTTTCTCTTGCAGCCACAAGTCTGGGCCCGACGGGTGTTCTGCAGACACTCACCAGCCCTGTGAGGTCCCAAGTCCTTCCCCCTTTCTTCCAGGAAGTGCCTGAAAGTCAGGGTCAGCTTGTGAAGAGCTGTTAAACAACATGCCCATGTGAGACTTCGGCCCTCACTCTAAACGCTCCCCGTTCAGGGCAGCAGACAAGGACGTCCCCATGGTTACAGCGGCTCTCTGGGTGGGCAGTGCACTGAGGACGGGAGGGTGAGAGCTGTTGTGCACAGTTCACTGTTGTCCCCCACGTCCTGCCGGAAACCTCAGATTCGTTGTTCATGAAAAGTGTCTTTAATAAAGTCGGATGCAGTTCTGCTTGGGAAAAAAAGCACACAGGTAGAAGGTGGCGGTGACTGTGCTGTGTCACCCACACCAGCGTGTCCACTGTGGGCTCCCATGTGCACACTGGCATCTGTGAGGCAGGACTGGTCCCATTCACACGTCTCACCCAGGATGCAGTGTCTGGCAGACAGAGTGGGGCTGAATCAGTGTTTGCTGGGTGAGTGTCTCCTGTCTCAGTCTTTGGGGCAGATGCTGACACGGCCCTATTTTGAGCCAGCGCTAGCAGTGGGCATCAGTGAGAGGCAGTCCCTCAGTCCTGTGTCCCCCATGAAGGCCTCAGCATCACACAGGCACCCCAGGGATATGTCAGAGATGCTTCAGGTGGGCCCCCACCCTCTCCTCCTCCCAATGAGCCTGTTCGTACTTTTTATGGGTGATCTGAGCCTCCTGTGCCTGGTCTTGGGGCCGGTGGTGGTTATGGAGAGAACAGCAATCCCCCCTGGGACCCTCAGTCCCTGGATCAGGGAGTTGCCACCTGAGCAGTAGGTTCAGACTCTGCATCTGGACCCAGGCACACCTGCTCCCCCTGCATCCAGTGTGGGGAGGCCACCAGGGGGGCAGCAGAGACCACCTGGCAAAGCCTCCTGGAGACTTGGAGGGCCTGGGCATGAGGAATTCGACCATGCAGGGGGATTATTATCATTTATGTTTTGGAACTATCTGTCCATTCATTAATAATTAAGATATTTAATTGTGGTAAGACATGGTGAATATTAAGCACCACGTCACATCTTTAAAGAGAGCAGCAGGTTTTCTACAGCATTAACTTTGACACGGATGATATAACATCCTGACTGTGAGTCTCTCAGATTGGGTTCTCATAGAATTGGCCTGTGCATCTGTCTCAGGTCCAGGCACTTCATTCCTGTCCAGCCCACCCCATTCATGCTGACACTCTGTAACTGTCACACTTTTCCAAGCACTGGATCTGACCCTGGCACTGGCACACACTCGGGACACTGGGGCACAGCATCTATAACCTGTCCCAGGAGCTGAAACCAAGTTAGAAACTTCCAGAATCTCAGAGGCTCCAAGTTCTCCTTGTGCACTGAGCAAGGTGAGAATGTCCTACAGGTTCTGATGCTCACACACTGTCACTGGGTGGGACCCTGCTCTGTCCTCAGGCTCATATTGTCACCACTACAGTTAACGCTCTATAGGGGTCCAGAACGTGCAGACAGATGTCACCTCTGAGCTCTGCTGGGGCCAGCCCAGCCCAGGAGTGAGGCCCTGAGACAGTCTGGGGTGGAGATGTCAGCCTCTCGCTGTGGTATAAGGATATGAACCAGAATCCCCTGGGAATGAGGTGGGGTCCCAAGGGACCACTACTCCCTTCCCTGAGTTGCTCAGGCTCATCCCCCAGCAGGAACCACACAGCTACTCAGGCAGCTACCCTGAGCCCTGGTTGATTTGCATACCCAGCAGCTGTCTCTCCAGCAAGGGGATAAGAGAAGCCTGGGAGGACAGCTGCCCAGCCTGGGGCCTCAGGGAGCAGAAGTGGGACACCTCCACCATGGCCTGGACCCCTCTCCTCCTCGGCCTCCTCGCTCACTGCACAGGTGCTGCCCATGGCTCCCAGCCTTTCCCAGCCCCAGGGGTCTAGACAACTCTCACCCTGATTCTGACCTCAGCCTATGAGATTCAGGTGCACCTGAACCAGCTGCAGGATGAGGGGATGGGGGTGCTGTACCCTCCACTGTGCTCACTGGTCTGAGTGAGCCTGAGGGGCTGCACCTGCCAGGAGAAAGGGACAGAAGGGTCCCCATTTCTTCACAGGTTTCATGGATCAGCTCATCAGTGGGACATGTGGGCTGAGACTCATGGCCAAGTCTCAGAATCCCTGTAGATCTTCCAACAAGGGCAGGCTCAGGTGTCCTGGGAAGGGGTCCTTCATCCTTAACCCCACCTCTCCTTTCCTCTCTTGCAGGGTCTGTGGCCTCCTATGAGGTGACACAGCTTCCCTCGATGTCAGTGCAGCCAGGACAGACAGCCAGGATCACCTGTGGGGGAGACAACATTGGAAGAAAAAGTGTTGACTGGCTCCAGCAGAAGCCCAGCAAGGCCCCTGTAACCATCATCTACAGTGATAGCAGCAGGCCCTCAGGGATCCCTGACCGGTTCTCAGGCTCCAACTCGGGGAACACGGCCACCCTGACCATCAGCGGGGTCCAGGCCCAGGACGAGGCTGACTATTACTGTGCAGCATGGGATGGTAGTACAAACACTCACGGTGGCACAGGCAGATGGGGAAGTGAGACAAAAACCTCAGTCTGTGTCAAGCTCTCCTCAGGCCCCAGGACGACCGCAGACAAAGCCATGGGTAGCTTTGGCCCAGGTACCCTTTCTCAGGTCTCCCAGTGGCCCCTCCTCCCAGCCTCAGTCAGCTGTGCAGAGGGTGGGTCAGGACTGGATTCAGGGGGCAGGACCAGGCTGGCCTCCTGTGTCTGTGACACAGAATCAATGCCAAAAAGAGGGCCTCACGAAAGGACAGCCTGCTTGAGTCCTGTGCCCAGAAATAATGGTCCTACAATCCTTATTATCGTGACTGGGCTGCTCCTTGTGAAAATGCTCTGGATGCATCCCCAGAGCTGCCAGCTCCACGGAGCTCCTGAGGCCCGGGCTCCGAGGCCGCCCAGGACTCTGAATGGAGCCGACCAGTGCAGCAGACACTGTGAGATCCCCTGGTGCCCAGTCGGGTCCCACACGCCCACCACCACAGCTGCAGGCCCCCCGGCTGCTCTCAGCCGGGCCCTCCCTGGGAGCGGGATGGTAGCAGGGAACTGTCCCCTCCCACCCCCCCCACCCCCTGTTCATCACTGTCTCTGGGTGTGACTCAGGTCTAGTGACAGCTGGAGGACAGGAAATGGGTGGGATTAGTTTACAGGATATATTGTGTTTAATTCTGTTAGTGGAAATGTTTCCATATAAATTAAATATTAAAATGTGGATAATCTTAAATTTTTTCATCATAAATCTTAAAATCTGGTGCACATTTCAGACTACAGCACCTCCTACTGGAACCGCCCACATTTCATCCTCAGGAGGTGCATGTGGCTTGTGGACACCACATTGGTCAGAGCAGGTCAGATGGGAGACGTGTCCTCGTTGGGCTGGGGGCAGAGGACAATGTCACTGACCCTGCAGTGCATCCTTGCAGCCACCAGGGCATGAGGAGGGCGGGGATCCTGTGACCAGCTGTCACTAGGGGAGGAATGTCTGCTCCACTTGCCAACTACACCGGAAATATTGAGGACAGAACAAGGGGAATTATTATGTCACCTGTCCACACTACTTCTGTCCTCAAGGACCTGATATTAAATACAAGTACAATTTTAAACATGATTCTGAGCCATGGAGCACATTTTTCTTACTAGTGGAATGAATGACACAGTCTACATACATTTGTAAGTAGTTGTTGCTACAGGAAACTCCCTCACTGGGCAGATCATTCCCATAAACATCAACACAAGCCATAAGGTTATACTTTGTGCAGAGATCTGGAAGGAAGGAGGGTACTAGATGGATTTTATTGATTTGGGGCCACATGCTGTGCCCCACAAAGGGATACATTTGCCTACCTCACATACACAGAATGTGTTTTGAAGGTGAAATCTCCCAGGGTGGCACTCACAGGTGACCTCCCAAGGTGGTCAGGAGACCCAGAGCACAGGTGTGAGCACTGGCCTGCAGGGTCCCCATGGGGACCCTGAGGTGTGAGTGTGAGGAGTGGACGCCCTTGGGTGGGAAGGGCAGAGAGGAGCTGCTGTGGTCCTCTCAGCTGGGGGACAGTGGGGGGCATGTCTCAGGCACCAGACCCTTGTCCCCTCTCCACTGTCTCTCAGAACAAACTCAGGGAGTCGGTCAGGGGTCTGTCTGTCTGTCTGTGCACAGGAGTCACACCAGGCTGCACCTCACCTCCAAGGAAAATGCTCCAGCATTCCCCAGGTGAATTAATTGCATTAGATTCTCAGCAGTACTGGTGTGCAAACAAATACATTTGGTAATAATGTGCCTTGCCAATCATATTTCTTAATATTAAAGATTTCCCTTCTTATTCTGACAGTCATCCAACCTCAATGGCCCTGACATTATTACAAAAGGCATTCTGTACAGATTCTCCCGAGGATCCCAACCTGATCCCCAATGTCTCGCTGTGTTGTCTGCGGTGGTGGAAGTGGCCCCACCTCCATACAAGAGAGACCAGGGTTTCACTGGAAAAGACAGATTCCAACACCGAGAAGATCCCAGCGCACTTCAGAGCAGACTCAGGGGGCGGAGCACCTGCAGACAGGAGGCATGGCCTTGACTCAGGGACTCAGGAGGATGGGATGTGGGACAGAGGAGGAGCAGGATAAGAGACCTGGAGAAGCGCTGGGCAGGGAGGAGATCCACAGGTCAGGCTCTGAGAACCAACTCCTGTATCCCTGGATTGAAGCCTTGACTCAACATCACAGTCTGGGGGACTCTGGGGAAATCATAACCTTGCAAGGTTGGCCCCTGCTCATTGGAAGGTGCCTTCAGCACAAAGATCATGTTGAATAATTATGATGTCTGGTGAGGGGTGCAGGTCAAACACTCACCAACCATGTGACACCTATTAAGGCCTCCAAAGTAGTCAATAGGTTGAGCTACTCACATGGAGAAGGACATTCACCCTGGGGGCACAAGGGGGCACAGTGGGTCGTGACTTGGGAACTCATAATGCAAATCTCCTGGGCTGTGCTCAGTGCAACGAGTGTAACTGATTCTCCTTGGAGACAGTTTTATTGGTTAAATTCAACTCTTAATGAAACCCACATCTGGACCTTCCTCCTCCTCTGGAAATTACCAGCAGGAGGCTGTCATGCTTGGGGTTGAGACACATCTGAGACAGATTTGCATTCATGGACCTCCCTGTTGAGCTGCAAGGACAGAGGACAATACAGGGGCTTGGAGAGGCCAGGGCCAGCTGGGCAGCCTCAGGGCAGAGCTCCTGGAAGCCCCTCCCACCATGGACTGGGCTCCCTTCTCCCTCCTGCCCCTGGTTTTCTCCACAGGTCAGAGCATCCCTGAGCACTCAGGGGTCCCCTCCCCAATAGTTTCCTTCCAAGCACAGTCCCAAGGGGCATCCGTCCAGTCTGGGTGCCTTTGGAATCATGGCCATGTTTTGTGTCTGCAGGTCTCTGTGCTGCACGTGTACTGACCCAGCCTCCCTGGGAGCTTCCGCCCAGCTCCCCCGCACCCTCAGCAGTGAGCACAGACCCTACAGCATTCACTGATATCAACAGAGACCAGGAAATGGCCCTGGGTATGTGATGTACATTAAGAGTGATGGAAGCCACAGCAGTGGGGACAGGATCCCCGATCACTTCTCAGGCTCCAGCTCTGGGGCCAACTGCTACTTAACCATCTCCAGTCTCCAGTCTGAGGACGAGACTGAGTATATCTGTGGTGAGAGCCACACACACAACGGCCTTTTCACAGAAGCTGCGGTGACACATACAAAAGGGGAGTAAGAAAGGCCCAAACCTCCATCCCTCATCCCCTCCCCCACAGGGACTTGGGCTAAGCTGCTCCCTGTCCTTGCCCAGGACCCTGAGACATTTACATCTTCCCCTGCAAATCCCCTCCTCCTGTACTTACTCCCGTCTGGGGAAAGTCACATATGGTCACAATGTAGTTCATTTTCACAAAGCAACGTCCTGTTTCCTTCAATACAGGGCACTATGCAGGACGCTGGGACAAACGCGAGCAGCCCAGACAGGAACATGACCCTGAACAAGTGGCTGGGCTGAGGTGACTGCATCTCCAGGAGCCATCGGGCCTTTGCTCCCATCTTGGGATTCTTCTCAAGGAAGGAACGCAGACCTTGGTGTTCCAGGTATGACCCTAGAAGTGGAGACAGTGACTGTATTGACTCGGGACACCTGGGAGTGAAGCAGGAGCACTGTGAGGACTGAGGTTCTGCAGGAAGCATTTGTCCCTGAGCAGAGGCAGGACTGAGAGGCCTGATGCCGAGTTGAGAGCAGAGCTGGGTCGGGAGGGAAGCGGGTGCCTGTTGGGAGGTCTTGGGGCAGGACCCATGTGGAGCTCGGGCTGGGTCCCCGAGCTGTGCCAGTTCTCAGCCTGTGGTGCCAAGGAAGGCTCCAGCTGTGGCCACAGAACATTTTTAGGGACAGATCAGGACAATGCCCAGTGGGACATGGGGGATGGGAAGCTGAGGTGGAAAATATGTCAACGACCTCCTACCTCCAGTCCCTGCCCTGTGGGTCACCAGCCTCAGCCGCATCTGTCGGGGGATGGAGACAGGATTAGTGGGTGGGTTGATATTCTGCTGACTTTCCCGGGAACTGAAATACCAGAACCTTTCACTCACACCGACACCATAGAGTCAGCCTGGAGCAGCTGCGTGGACCACAGTGATCTTGTTCCTGCTCACAGGTAGGTGATCAGAGTCACCTGAGCAGGTTCAGGCCAGTCCTGTCTCATGATTGTGGGATTCATCCCAGGACCTCAAGCTGGGATGTCCACCTGAGCAGACACCACACGGTGTCACTGGTACAGTAGGGGAATAATTAAAGCCTGCTGAGCTCTGGACAGTAACCCCAAGGAGCAGCTGACACAGGTGCCAGGACCTGCCCTTGGAGGCAGCTGGAGGGGATGTGGCTGAGGGGGTGACAGGCAGGCTGGGCCGAAAGTGAGAGTGTGTGTGGTGAGCTGTCCCCTTCCCATGGTGCATTCTGCATCTCTCAGACTGTCACTCTCTGCCTCTGTCCGTCTGTCTGTCACTCTGGTGAAATCTGGGTTTCTCCCTGTTAGTCATGTTCTGTGTCATCCCTGCAGAGCAGCTGAGCCTGTCTTACCTGACCCCGTGTCCTGCACCCCTTCCTCCACTTTCTTCCTGTTCCATGTGGTGTGTGTGCTCTGTGTATGTCTGTCGTGCTCATCACCTTAGTGACTTGTGACGGTGAGCAGATCTTCAGGTGCCTATTCTCACATGTGCATCTTCTTTCTTGGTGAAGTGTTGGATCAGATCTACAGATATTTTAAATAATTTGGATCCTCCTGTTTTTGGGTGTGTGAGTGTGTATTTCTTATACAGTTTATTTGTTTGTTTGTTTGTTTGTTTATTATCCTCACCCAATAGCTTTTTTTCATTGTTTTAGTGACAGAGAAAGGGACCGAGAGGAGGGAGAGAGAGAAACATTGATGAGAGTGAGAAGCATTGATTGATTGCCTCCCATATGTACCCAGACCGGGGACTGAACTCACACCCTTGTGATCAGAGGATGATGGCCCAAGCAACTGGGCCACACTGGACACGGCTACACACTTCTCTCCCACGTGCCGGCTCATGCACCCACCACAGCGGTTAGGATTCCCCGCAGTCCCATCACACGTGGACTCTTCGTGTTTCCCTTTCACAACACCCACCTCCTCCCACCCAGAGCCTCCCCCTGCCCCTCAGCCCTGCAGCCATCACCTGCTTCTCCATCTCTCAAATTCTGTCATTGGAAAATTGTGTAGAAATAGAATCCTACAGAATGTAATGTGCTTTGATTGGTCATTTATTCATCGTATTTCCTCACATGCTCGTCAAGGATGTTGTGTTTATCAATAGTCCATTTTTTTGACTGATTAATATTCTGTGATTCACATGTACCAATGTCTGTTTAACCATCACCCCGAAGGAGTTCTGAATTGTTTTTAGATTGGGGCTCTTATGTGTAAGGGCGCTGGTATGAACTGAGTGACTTTGTCTTCCGGAGTTCGGACATTGAAGTCCTTGCTCCCAGTGTAGCTGTATGTGGAGACGGGGACTCCAAGGAAGTAATAAAAGCCAAAGGATGTGTCATGCGTGGGGCTCTGGTCTGGTGGGATCAATGTTCAGAGCCTCTGTCTCTGTCTCTCTCTCTGACTTCTAACTTTAAGCAACTCGGTGGTGTTTGTTAGCACAGCCTGAGCTGACTAGACAGGTGCTGTGAACACTTGTGTATGGGTTTCTATATAAACATAAGTTTTTAATTTTCTGAAATAAATGTACAGTGATGCAGTGACCGGTTGTATGGTAACTGCATGTTCATGTTATACTAAGCACACAGCTGGTTTTCCACTGTGGCTCTGCCGTCTGACCTCCCTACCGGCACTCAGTGAGTGACCCCTTCTCGCTGCCTGACCAGTGTCTGGTGCTGCCCCGATTTCACTTCAGTCAGTCTGCTCCATGCTGACCGGTGTGCAAGTGTCTTGCTCTGGTTTTAACTTACCTTCCCTGGTGGCTCCTGATGAACATTTTGTGTGTGTGTGTTTTGATATTTGTATATTTTTCCTTCAACTGTCTATTTCTGTCATTTGTCCATTATCAAATTGAATTTTGTTTGCTTTGTTTACTTTTTAAACTTTTTAAATGATTTGAGAAAACATGTGTCTGTTGCTCTGCCCATTCATGCCCTCATTGGCCGACTCCCGTCTGCACCTCCAACAGGGGTCAGATCCAAATCCTTGCTACATTTGGACACTACTCCAGCCAACTAAGCCCCCGGCTAGGGCTGCCTGCTTTGCATATTAATTAGTTTGAAACTTTATACACAGGGTTCCTTGATGGGTTGGGATTGCAAAATGTTTTCTCCTACTTAACTGTTTTCTTAAATTAGCTCCATAAAGGGCCTTTTGTAGAACAAAGGTTTTAATTTTAAAGGGTTTCTATTTATTTTCTTTCTTTTTAGATGTCAAGCATTTCTATGAAGTCTAAGAATTCTTGTGAAGACCAAGAGGCAAAAGATTTTTTCTTTTTCTAAACTGTAATGGAAATTCCCCCAAAGGCATGTGACCAGTGTCATTGTCTCCTGGAGCAAATTCCAGCCTCTGACACCAGCTTGACCACTGTCCCTACCGGCTCCTGTTTCCAGCACCCCCACCCCACACCACACTGTGATCTCATCACTGGAGGGGACTGAGCCTTCTCCTCAAGACCAGAGAGGAGACTCAGCCCACCTGTGGGTGCAGGGGCTGTTCAGGGATCAGCACCGTCCCCTCAACACCACAGAGAGCTCTGTGCAAACTGGGCGCACACCTGGAGGTGAGGACCCAGCTTTAAACCCTCCACTGGCCCCAACTGCTCTATCTCTGCTGAGTGGGTGCCACTCAGCAAGGCCACAAGGGGAAGGAAGTGGATTTGCATGGAGCCCCTTACACAGGATAAGACAGGCCCCGAAGCCACATCGTCAGCTGTGGGTCAGAGGAAGATCCTGGGGCTTCTCCACCATGGCCTGGACCCCTCTCCTGCTCCCCCTCCTCACTCTCTGTACAGGTGCTGACTCCCAAGGCTAAGCCCCCACAGAAACCAGGGAGCAACCTGACCCTGAACTTTGCTCAGCATCAAGGATGTGGGCCACCTGCAAAGGAGACCCTCATCCTCCTACTCACCTCTCCTGTCCTCCCTTACAGGTTCGGTGGCCTCTTCTGAAGTGACTCAACCCCCAGCAGTGTCTGTGAGCCTGGGACAGACAGCCAGGATCACCTGCTAGGGAGAGCTGGTAAGAAAATATTATCCTGCCTGGTACCAGCAGAAGCCAGGCCAGGCACCCATGCTGCTCATCTATGATGACAACAACCGGACTTCAGTGACCCCTGACCGATTCTCCAGTTCTCACTCAGGGGACACTAACACCCTGACCATCAGCGGCGCCCAGGCCCAGGACGAGGCTGACTACTACTGTGCAGAAGCTGATGGCAGTGGGAGCAGCTGGCGTTGACTCACAGTGATACCCACAGACAGAGAAGTGTGACAAAAACCTCCTTGTGTGTCACACTCTCCCCTGGTCCCATGAGGACTGTGGGCAAAGTCATGAGCATGTCTGGCTCAGGTCCCATTTCTCAGGTCCTCCAGAGGTCCCTCCTGCCAGCCTCAGGCAGCTGTGCAAGGGGAGGGTCAGGAGTAGATTCAGGGCTGGCAGGACCAGGCTGTCCTAGTGTGTCTCTGCCACAGTGTCACTTCCATTTAGAGGGACTGACAAGAGGACAGACTGCCATATTCCTGTGTTGCTGAAGCAACATCTTGAAATTCTACATCACGGTGACTGGGTTGCTCCTTTATGAAACGATCTGGACTCATCCCCAGAGCTGCCAGCTCAGCTGTGCTCCACACGCCCCAGGCTCAGTGACGCCCAGGACTCTGAATGAGGCCAACCAGCATCTGCACACCCAGCACCCCTGCTGGAGCCAGGTGACCAGGGCTATGCCCTCACTGGTCACCATTGGGAAAGTTCCCATGGGGCAGAGAATTGCCTCCCTCAGGATCATTTCTTTTCCCCAGTGTGACTCAGCCCCATGACTACATGATGCCAAGATCTACAGCCCTGCCTCAGGTCACATGACCTAGCAGCCTCCAGCTGAGTATTCCACTGTCACCGCTTTGTAATTCCTAGGTCATGCCTCTGAGGTTCCTCCCAGAGAGACCCCGACACCTCCCTGAGTGAGGTTCTCCAGGTCAGAGGGAGTCTCCAGGGCCCCAGAGAGGAAATCACAGCCCAGGGGGAGTGTGTGGGAGAGGAGAGGGCCCCACAGAGCGGACACTCTGGGCGTCTGCAAACGTTCCCTGGAGACTGGTGAGCACACACGGGAGGAAAGCAGCTGAGGCTGAGGAGGGAGCCCCCCAAAGACACAGGAGAGGACCGTCACAGGTCAGCACCCCAGCCAGCAGGGCTTGTGCCCAGTCGGGAGCAGCTCCCAGTTCAGGCATCAGGTGGACGAGTCAGAAGCTCTGTGCCCCACGGAGGGGAACTTAGTCCCCAACCAAGGTCTGTGCTGGTGGCATCTCAGAAAGTGTCAGTGAGAGCAGGTGGACACAGGATGGATCTCTGACCAGTAAGTCACTGAACCCCAAATGGGAGTCCCCGACACAGGGAGACGCACACGTGTTCCAGATCCAACAGGAATCAGTCCTGTTGCCTGACCCCCTGTCAAACTTTCCTGCGAAGAATCAGGAAAACAGGGCTGTTATGAATGTAAAAACCACTTTGTCCAGAATGGCCCTGAAGTGGTCCTGATGACACCATTTGTGGGCAAGCAGACAGAAAATGTGACTGTTACAATATTTCCTCCATCACAAGGGAGGAAGAATGATTTGACTTGGCAAGGCAGACACAGAGGCCAAAAATCCAAACTGGAAACCTGGATATAAAAGCTGCAATATCAGGGATTGAAAATGCACAGGATGAGACTGAGAGCCCATGAGATGCTACCAGAGAAAACACTCAGCACTTGCTGTCAGAGAAAGAGTCTGTTCATAATGAAGCAGAAAGTAACACAGACCAAGGTCAGAAAGGGATCCCTCTTCTCCAAACACCTCCCATGTGACTGTTTGTAAAACACTTTTCTCCACGATATTACGGGGTCCAGCACCTGAAGCTCAGTCTGATGAGGGCAGGTAGTTCAGCACCAAGACCCCAGTGGCCCAGGAAGGAGTTGGGACAGAATAAGAGGAAGTGAGGGTTTCCATGGTGACTGAGACCAGAGCACACAGGTCCCCTGGGATGGACTAAGATGCAGATGCAGCTGCACCAGGGAAAAGTGGGCCCAGACACCTGCCTGTTTGACAGTCCCTCCTAGGACCACACTGGGAGGGGCTTCACTCCTGTCCACCTACCACTCAAAGCTCAGTGACAGTCACCACAAGAAGACACCATCTGTCAATCACAGGGAACCTGGTCTCTCTCCCTCCCAGGCTCCTGGTGGTCTTCACCCTGCCCTCACTTCTGCCCACATCTGTCCCTGCCATCAGGGTTGGGGCCACTCTGTCCTGACTTCTCTCTTCTCTCAGGCATGTGTGGCCCCTCAACAGATGGCGACCATAGTCTGTGCAGGAGCAGCAGTGACATGGACATTTTAATTGTGTCTCCTGACACCAGCAGTGGTGACCACACCCTAACATGGCTGGGGCAGAAGGTCAGGAACCAAACCTCACCGACCCCAGGGAACAACCTGCTCTCAGTGCTGAGATGTGTCTGCTCCTTCAGGTGCCAGAAAGTTCTCTCTGCTATCTCAAAACAAGTGACTGATGCAGTGACTTACAGGGCATCCTGTCCAGCAGAAATAAAACTTTGGACCACACGTGTCACCTAAAGTTTTCCAGGAGCCACACTGACAAACGGGAAGAGACCAGTGGCATTAGGTTCATAGTAGATTTTGTTTAACTGCCTTAGTTGAAAGTATTATCATTTCAATGTGAATTAAATATAACATATTGATGTATTCTCCTTTTTTCTTACACTAATATTTGAAAACAGGGAAATATGTCAGTGCCCCCCCCCCCCACCGTGCACACGCAGCCTCTAATGTCAAGAGATGCAGGTTCCTTCACGAAGACGACCTGAGTGCTCGGAGCACCTGGGGACAGGAGGCAGGGCCGTGACTCAGGGACTCAGGAGGCTGGGACCTGGGACGGGGAGGAGCAGAATGAGGGACATGGAGAGGGGCCAGGCAGGGAGGGGAACCACAGGCCAGGTCTGAGGTCCGGCTCCTGCATCCCTGGATTGGAGCCTTGACTCATCATCACTGTCTGGGGGGCTCTGGGAAAATCATACCCTCACAGTGAGGGCTTCCTCTCACCGGACAGGAGGAGGGGCTGGGCTGAGGTCGGGTGGAGGATGCTAGTGACACACTCACCAAGAGACAGCATCTGATGAGAGCTGAAAGTAATGAACAATCACTCCATTGTAAGAACTTAAAATTGTAGGATGTCACTCACCCTGCGGACAGCAGGGGGCAGTGTGGAACTGCCTTCAGGAATGATGGGTCTCATTTTTCAGAGTCCCTCCTGTTCTCCATTTTTTTTTTCTTTAATTTTTTTTTTAAGATTTTATTTATTTATTTTTGGGGAGGGAAGGGAGGGAGGGAGAGAGAGAAAGAGAGAGAGAGAGAGAGAGAGAGAGAGAGAGAGAGAGAGAAACAGTAATGTGTGGTTGCTGGGGGTTATGGCCTGCAACCCAGGAATGTACCCTGGCTGGGAATCGAACCTGGGACACTTTGGTTCCCAGCCCGCGCTCAATCCACTGAGCTATGCCAGCCAGGTCCTGTTCTCCTTTTATAACAGCACCCACCTCCTCCCTCCCGGGTGCCCTTCCCTGCACTAACCCTTCACCACTAATCAGTTCTTCATTTCTAAAAACATTTCTTTGCAGAAGCAGTCTAGTGACAAAATAACTCTCACAGTAGCTAGTCTTCTGGGATTGACATGTATTACTTTACATTTCCCGGAGATTCCTCCAAATTGCTGTTATATTCAGTTTGTTCCTTTCCTTGCTGAGAATTCCGTGGTCTGGGTGGGTCCCAGTCTGTTTGACACCCACCCGTGCAGAGACGCCGGGAAGGTCCTCACCTTGGGAGTCTGCGCACCAGGGTCCCGGGAACACACACGTGTGTGCGGTTTCACTGTGGACGTCAGTTTGCGGGGTCTGAAACGGGTGCCCTGAGCCGCAGTCGCTGGGCCGTGTGCGAACCACCGGTTTGCTGCTGTCAGAAGCCACCAGACTCCTTCCCGTGTGGGTGCCGGTTCACACCCTCGGCCCCGGTGACCCCGACTGTCCACGTGCTGCCGTCACTGGGGCTGGTCGCCTTGTCTGCTTTACCATCTGGCAGGTGCGCGGTGACCCCCCCCATGTTTTCACTCGAATTTCCCAGCTGGCTCCTGAGGGGCCTCTTCCCGGATTCTTGCTGCCATCTTCTGTCTCTTCCGGGACCTGTCTGTTCGTGCTCATTGACCGGTTTCGAAATGTGTTCTAATATTATTTATCTTTTCACTGTTTAGTTTTAAGAGCTCTTCCTACACTCCAGGAGTATTTTTCATTTGATATTTAGTTTGAAAATGTTTTCTCGCACTTTCTTCACCTTTTCATCCCTCTTTCAACAACACTGCAAAGCAAAACAGTGACGGTGGTGCTGTCCAGGGTGGTCCAGTTAGTCTTTAGTCTTTAGTGAATCATGCCCCTGGGGTCATCAAGATATTTTGCAAATTTCTACATCCCCCCAAAATTCTGTTTCCCCCCCAAAACAAAAGGAAAAAATACTTCCTAGATGGTATGTGACCCGTCTCTCAGTGTGTCATCACGGAATGTAACCTGTCAAACCCCAGCATGACCCCTGTCCCTATAAGCTCAGCCCACCCCTGCATGATCTCGTCACTAGAGAGGATGACTGATGATCGTCCCCAAGCCCAAGGAGGCTGCTCAGAGATCAGACAGAGGTGGGGTTCAGGTACTGGTTCAGGGGTCAGCACTGTCTCCCCCAACACCCCAGGGAGCCCTGGGGAGGCTGGGTACAGGCCTGGGTGTGAGGGCTTGAATTTTAATGATGCCTGCCTTGGACTCTGCTCCGCTGCACCTGCGCTAGGAGGCCAAGGAGGGAAGGAAGGGGATTTGCATGAGGAGCCCCTGGCAGAGGATAAGAGGGGCCCAGAGACCACACCCAGCTGTGGGCACAGAGGCAGAACCCAAGGAGCCACCGCCATGACCTGGACCCCGCTCCTGCTGCCCCTCCTCACCCTCTGCACAGGTGCTGCCTCACAGGCTCTGCCTGCAGGCTCAGCCCCGGCAGGACCCTTAGATGGACCTGCCCCAAACCCTGAGCTCAGTCCAGGGGATCCCCAAGGGGAACACCCTGTGCACAGATATTTGTCCTCAGCCTCCTCCCCTCTCCTCTCTTACAGGCTCTGTGGCCTCCTATGAGCTGACCCAGTCGTCCCCCTTGTCAGTGGCCTTGGGAGAGACAGCCAGGATCACCTGCACCGGAGATTTACTGGATAAAAAATATACTGGATGGTTCCAGCAGAAGCCAGGCCAGGCCCCTGTGCTGGTCATTTATAAGGATAGCGAGCGGCCGTCGGGCATCCCTGACCGATTTGCTGGCTCCAGCTCAGGGAAGACAGCCACCCTGACCATCAGCGGGGCCCAGGCTGAGGACGAGGCTGACTATTACTGTCAGTCGTGGGACAGCAGTGGTAATACTCACAGTGACACAGACAGATGGGGAAGTGAGACACAAACCCCCACCCCATCTGTGTCACACTCTCCTCCAGCCCAAACAAGACCAGACACAAAACCATGAGCAGGTCTGGCCCAGGTCCCCAGACCTCACATCTCAGGCAGCTGTGCAGAGGGTGGGACAGCACTGGATTCAGTCTCACAGGACGGGGCTGACCTGGTGTTTCCAGGGCCTGAATGTGAGTTGGAGACAGAGGGCGTGAGTGGAGGGACACACAGACCAGGATACACATGCCTTGGTAATGCATATTGATTATCCTTGTAATGGTGACTGGGCCCCTCGTTGGTCACCTGTCCTGGCTTTGTCTCCAAAACTACCCAGATTAAGGAAGCTCAGGAAGCCCCAGGATGTCCTGGCAGCCTGGACTCTGAACAGAGCAAACCCATGCGGGGGACGCCGAGGATCCACCTGCATCCCCCCCCTCAAGGCTGACCCTCCCTCAGTCGTCTGCTGGGTCCTGGCAGCTCACAGCTGTGCCCTCACAGGGAAGTGCTGTTGGCGGAGAGGACCTCACCCCGAAAGGTCACACCCCTCTCAGTGTGGCTCAGGGTCAGATGACCTCACGCCGCCTCAAAGCTGAGTCCGCAATTATTACCACATTGCACACCCTCCCTCTCAGTTTACTCGGGAAAGATCACCCCTGACCCTCCTGCATGTGGTTCTCCATCCCTGTGTGCCCCCAGGGAACTGACTGCCAGTGCTCAGGAATCTGACCAACACACGGTGTGAGGAGACCCCATAAGGGCAAAGAGAACCACACAGAGACACCAGAGACCACTTGCCGAGCTCACGCACACAATCAGAAGTCACACTTGTCCCGCAGTCAGAGAGGACAAGTCCCAGTCAGGACACCAGATGGACCTGTCAGAGAGCTGGGCCTCGAGGTTGGAAATTAGCATCTGACTCCTCGCTGCTGTGGCCCCACCTACGAACGTGTGAGCGCAACTGATGCAGGATCCCACTGTTTGCATTATCTCTAATGAATCTGCAGTAACCTGGAATAGCAGACAAAACATATATAGAAATACAGTATTATTCACCAATGAGGAAATATGTACCAAGTCCAGTGTAACATCAAACATTCCTGATTGGAAGCACGAAAATACCACGTACGATAAGTAACAAAATCAACCAATGAACCTGGTCATGATATTTCAGAGATGATTGAATAGTTTGGTCAAGGATTTTATGAAAATTTGTATTCCATTCATTCCAGTGTGTAGAAGATGCTTGAACACGGTAATTGCAGACAAGGAGGACAAAAACCCCAGCCGAGTCAATACACAGATGCAGACATTACAGCGTCTGAGACACAATGACCCTGATGTGACTGACGGCAGGTTCATCGCTGCAGAGGAGAGACAGTGACAGATGACGTGGAGGAGAAACTACAGAAGGGACGTGAGATGCAGACACAAAACCACCCTGAAAACATGCACGGAAGCATCAGTGTGCTGGGGGGCATGAGGGAGCCTCATACGAATGTGATTTCAATCTTTGAAGCAGAAATGATTTGGTGGAAGGTGTAAAAATTATTTCAGGAAATACTGGCCAAAATGTTCACTTCTTGTTCTTGGCAAAGGAATATATTTGCTTACCTCACAAGTGCAGATCACAGTGTGAAGGTGACATCTTCCAGCGTGGCACTCACAGATGATCTCCCAGGTGGTCAGGAGACCCACAGCACAGGTGTAAGCACTGGGCTGCAGGAGTGGCCAGCAGGCCCCATGGGGACCCTGAGGTGTGAGTGTGAGGAGTGGACGCCCCAGGGTGGGAAGGGCAGAGAGGAGCTGCTGTGGTCCCCTCAGCTGGGGACAGGCTCGGGCGTGTCTTAAGCACCAGACCCTGGTCCCCTCTCCACTGTCTCTCAGAATGAACTCTGAGGACTGAGTCAGGGGTCAGTCTGTCTGTCTGTCTGTGCACATGAGTCACACAGAGCTGCACCCTCACCTCCAAGGACAAGGCCTGCAGCATTCTGTACGTGAACTCATTTCACTGCACCCTCATCACCACCAAGGTGACAGCTGATGTATTTGTCCAGGATAGCACATAAAAAGTGCATTCTTGAAAATGTAAAGTTTTGAAGTTTTATAAAATTAAAAGGCTTCTCTCCTGATACTGACACTTGTCGAAACGCAACCGCTATGACCACGGGAGAAAACAACCCTGACGTAAACCGTTAGAGACCCAGCCCGATGCGAACCCTGCCCAGTCACCCGATGCCCATGCCCCTTTCACTCGGGACCCTGTGCCCTCTGCCAGGGAGGGAGCTGTGGGAGGGTCCCCACGTTTCCCACGGACAGTCCTGGGAGTCACTGGGACACGCAGGTGCTGACAAGTGAGCACCTGAGTGTTCTTCACAGCAGACTTGGGAACAGAGAAAAGGGTGGTGACATAGGGGTCCTGGGGTGGGGGCGGTGGGGACACGAGGCCCACAGAGGGGCAGGGCAAGCAGAGGACACAACACTCACACTCTGGGTCTGCCTCCTGAATGGAAGTCTGGATTCCTCATCACTGTCTGGGTGTTCCTGGGAAAATCATAACCTTGCAATGACGGCCCCCTGGCCATCACACAGGAGGAGGGGCTGGGCCTTCAGCACAGGGATGGCGTGGGGTTATTCTGCTGTAGGGTTATTATGACATCAGGTGAGGGGTGCATATAAAACGCTCCCCAAGGCTCACCATCCTTTAAGTCACAGGTGGCAAACACCAGGCCTGTGGGCCGAATCCGGCCCTCCACCTTGTTTTATCCAACATGTCGGCCCGGCACCTTGTTTCTACCTGCTGGCAGCACCAAACTCCTTGTCCCTAGTTAAGGAGTAGTTCCATTAATACAGTCCTAAAATTATATTAGGCCCTTTGAAGGCAACCAGGAAGTTGACATGGCCCCCAGTGAAAATGAGTTTGACACCCCTGCATTAACTTCTTAGAAGTAGCCATCTCTTGAGCAAGCTACCCAGGTAGGGTGATATTCATCCTACTGACACCAGGGGGCACTGTGGGTCCTGGTTTGGGGAACTTCATAAGTTAGGTGCCCTTGGCTGGGCTCAAGTGCAAAGGGCATGACTGAGGGTCCTTTGAAGACACTTCTATTGGGTCAAATCAATTCTTAACAATGAAACCCACACCTGGACCTTCTTCTGACATCTGAAAATTACCAGCAGGAGGCTGTCAAGCTCAGGGTTGAGACAAGAGCTGAGACAGATACTAGTTGGGGAATGGGGAACAGATTTGCATTCATGCTCCTCCCTCTTGAGCTGCAAGGACAGAGGATAAGACAGGGGCTTGGAGAGGCCAGTGCCAGCTGGGCAGCCTCAGGGCAGAGCTCCTGGAAACCCCTCCCACCATGGACTGGGCTCCCTTCTTCCTCCTGCCCCTGGTTTTCTCCACAGGTCAGTGCATCCATTGCCATTTATAAGTCCTGAAGTCCAATGTTCCCCTCCAAATGCAGTTTTCAGGACCATCTGTCCAGTCTGGATGCATTCGGCATCATCCCTGTATTTTGTGTTTGCAGGTCTCTGTGCTGCGCCTGTGCTGACCCAGCCCCCATCCGCTTCTACCTGCCTGGGAGGCTCAGCCAAGCTCACCTGCACCCTCAGCAGTGAGCACAGCAGCTACACCATTCGCTGGTATCAGCAGCAACCAGAGAAGGCCCCTCGGTATTTGATGTGGCTTAAGAGTGATGGAAGCCAGAGCAAGGGGGACGGTATCCCCGATCGCTTCTTGGGCTCCAGCTCTGGGGCCGACCGCTACTTGACCATCTCCAACCTCCAGTCTGAGGACGAAGCTGAGTATATCTGTGGTGCAGACTATAATATTGGTGGCCAATTTGGTTAAGCCACAGTGACACAGGCAAAGGGGAAGTGAGGCCAAAACCTACATCTTCTGTTCCTTGTGCCCCACACAGATCCACAGTGACCTGCTCCCTGTCCATCACCAAAATGCTGAGATTTGACTCTTCTCTGCACAAATCCTGTCATTCTGCACCTGCTTCCCAAAACACCACTAGGGAGAAGCAAAGGAGGGTCATAATTTAGTTCATTTTGATGACACTTAAGAGGAGGTATCTGCCCTCAAGTGAAAGTATCTTCTGGAAGATAGGCTCCTTACAGCAGTGGATTCCCCTGCAAGGTGTGTGTTCTAGGAGCCCATCTGTATCAGTGTACCAGCTGGTGTTGTTGTGAGAGGCTGTGTATGGCTTCAGTATATTTTTTGAAGACCCTTTCAGCTGGTTTGCCCGTTTCATGATGGGTGATTTACAAGTGCACCTGCCCACGCTGCCTGGGTGTTCAGCCATTTTTGACCAAAAATAGCGTGACCCCCCTGCCCCATCCTTCCTATTCACCTGAACTTGCCCCTAGTGACTGCTTTTTGTTTCCTCATGTAAAAAACTGTCCTCAAAGAAAATCTTTTGCCAACATGGAAGAGCTGAAACAAAAAATGACAGAAGCACTAAAAGATGTCAAAATAGATGAGTTCAAAAACTGCTTTGAGCAGTCAAAAAACCATTTCAGTGTTGGATCAAATGGAGAGTTCTTTGGAGGTGACTGAAATTCCAACATGTAAGAATAACTGTACAATTTTTAATAACAAAATTCCGGGTTCAAGTAAATCTCACCTTGTACATTCTGCCTCCTCTCCCACTGGCTTGTGGGAGCTCTGCTGGGACAGACCAGACAGCCCAGCAGAAACATGAGCCTATGGGAGTGGCTGGGCTGAGGTGACCCAGTTCCCAGGAACCATGAAGCCATTTACCCCAATCCTGGGGCCCTGCTCAGCATAAGGAGTTAGCTCTTGGTGTTCCAGAGGTGACCTTGGAAGTCATCTGCAGTGAGTGTCTTTACTCAGCTGCACCTTGGGGTGAAGTCAGGACTGAGGTCCAGCAGGAAGCATTTGTCCCTCAGCAGAGGCAGGACAGAGAGACCTGATGCCCTGGTGGGAGCAGAGCTGTGACCAGGAGGGAAGTGGGTGCCTGTCAGGAGGTCTGGGGCAGGAACCATGTGGACCAAGGCCTGGGTGCTCCAGCTGTGGCAGATTCTCAGCCTGTGGTGCCAAGGAAGGCTCCACATGTGCCCATGGGAGTTTTCTAGGGGTGGAACAGCCCCATGTCCACGGGAGCAGTGGCAGAGCATGGGAGACGGGGACATGGGCATGAAACACGTTGCTCGCTGGTAACAAAGCTCAGCCCTGTGGGTGACCCTTCCTGCATACACATGGAAGTTGCAGGTTCCCTGGTTCACTATTTTCCTCTGCAACTTTTCTACAGACAGAAGACAAAGCATCTTTAACACACACCCCCACCTTGGAGTCAACATGGAACAGCCCACTTTCCACAGTAACACTGATTCCAGGACACTGATCTCAGTTGGCTCAGCTGCTATTCCAGGGCTGGTCCCCAGAGACTGAGTCTGAGATGAAAGTCCAGGAGCTGCCTGTGGCCTCTGGGACCCCAAGGAGGCTGGAGGGGAGGAGGTGGGCTGCTCTCAGGGGATGGAGTGGACAGAGGACAGATACACAGGAGACATGGACTCAAGGTCAGTCATGTGGTGACCTTGGTCAGTCAAGGGGCCTGGATCATGGGGATAAGGAGTCCTCTGCTATCATCACTTTGCTGTTCCCAGGTCTTGCCTCTGAGCTTCCTTCTGGAGATGCCCTGACACCTCTCTGAGTGAGGTTCTCCATGTTGGAGGGAGTCTCTAGGGCACCAGAGAGGAAATAACAGCCCAGGGGGAGTGTGTGGGAGAGGAGAGGGCCCCACAGAGGTGACACTCTGGGCGTCTGCAAACATTCCTTGAGACTGGTGAGTGCACATGGGAGGAAACCAGCTGAGGCTGAGGAGGAAGCCACCCAAGGACACGGGAGGGGACAGTCACAGGTCAGCGCACCAGCCTGCAGTGCTTGTGTCCAGTCATGGGGAAGCACCCAATTCAGGCATCAGGTGGATGAGTCAGAAGCTCTGTGCCAGCGCATTTTACAATAGCCAAGTGCTGGAAGCAACCTAGGTGCCCATGACTAAATGAATGGATCAAAAAACGATGGTACATTTACACAATGGAATTCTATGCAGCAGAAAGAAAGAAGGAGCTCCTGCCCTTTGTGACAGCATGGATGGAGCTGGAAAGCATTATGCTAAGCGAAATAAGCCAGGTAGTGAAAGACAAATACCATATGATCTCACCTTTAACAGGAACCTAAACAACAAAACAAAGAAACAAGCGAAATATAGTCAAAGACACTGAAATAGAGGACGGGCTGACAGTGTCCAGAGGGGAGAAGGGAGGGAATTTCAGGGGAAAAGGGAAGGGTTTACAGGAACAAGTATAAAGGACACATGGACAAAGACTGGGGGGGGGATGGAAATGGGAGGGAGGTTGGGAGGGCTGGGTGGGTGGGCTGGGATGGGAGTAAAAGATAGAAAATTGTACTGCAACAACATTTAAAATAAAATTTAAGAAAAGAAGAAGACCTGTGCCCCACGGAGGGAAACTTAGTCCCCAACCAATGTCGGCGCTGGTGGCACCTCAGAAAGTGTCAGTGAGAGCAGGTGGACACAGGACGGGTCTGTGACCAGGTAAGTCACTGAATCTGAAATGGGAGTCCCCGACACAGGGGGATGCACACGTGTTCCAGATCCAACAGGAATCAATCCTGTTGCCTGACCCCCTGTCAGACTTTCCTGCAAAAAATCAGGAAGACAGGACTGTTATGAATGTAAAAACCACTTTGTCCAGAATGGCACTGAAATGGCCCAGATGACACAATGTGTGGACTAGGGCACAGAAAATGTGACTGTAACGGTATTTCCTCTGATCATAAGGGAGGAAGAATGATTTGACACGGCAAGGGAAGACTCAGAGGCCAAAAATCCAAACTGGAAACCTGGATGTAAGAGCTGTAATATTGGGGATGGAAAATGCACGGGATGAGACTGACAGCCCATGATGTGCTACCAATGATAACTCTCAGCCCTTGCTGTCAGAGCAACAGCAACTATTCATAATGAAGCAGAAAATAACACAGACCAAGGTTAGAAAGGGATCCCACCTTCTCTCCAAACACCTCCCATGTGGCTGCTTGTAAAACACTTTTCTCCACGACATCACGGGGTCCAGCACCTGAATCAAGCTCAGTCTGACAAGGGCAGGACAGTTCAGCACAAAGACCCTGGTGGCCTTGGGAGAAGTTGGGAACACAGCAGGAGGAAGTGAGGGTTTCCATGGTGACTGAGACCAGAGCACACAGGTCCCCTGGGATGGACTATGATGCAGCTGCAGCAGGTCAGGGTGGGCCTGGGAACCTGCTTGTCTAACTGTCCCCTCCTGGGACCACACTGAGAGTAGCTTCACTCTTGTCCACCTGCCACTCACAGCTCAGTGACAGTCACCACAGGAAGGTACCATCTGTGAAACTCAGGGGACCTGCTCTCCCTTCCACCCAAGCTCCTTGTGGTCTTGACCCTGCCCTCACCCCTGCCCACATCTGTCCCTCCCATAAGGGTTGAGGCCACTCTGTCCTCACTTTTCTCCTCTCTCCAGCATGTGGGACCCCTGGACAGATGGTGACCATATTCTGTGCAGGAGAAGCAGTGACACTGGGCGTTAAAATTGTGACTCCTGATACAAACAGCCATTTAACGCAGCCTAACATGGCTGAGATAGAAGGCCAGGAAGCAAACCGCACAGACCCCTGGGGACAACACGGCCTCTCTGAGCCTCCCTCTGTGCTCGGTGCAGCCCTGAGTCTGATAACTATGGAGGTTTCCATGCAGGGCAGGGACGGGGCTCTTTGCCACAGTGTCTCAGTGCTGGGAAGGGGATACAGTCCATCCTGGGCTGGCCCTCCTCTCCACCTTTCCCTTGTCATGTTGTCACATCTCTTGACATGGGAAACCTTCTAGCTTTAAGGCTGAAGAACTTGAGTCCCTCCTCTCTCCCACCACTGGGCACGGTGGGTCCTTCTGAACACCTTCCACCTGGGAACAAACCGTCCCCACCGTGGTCTGTGTGCTCAGACACAGCAGGAAGGCTCAGGAGAGGCAGAGTCTGGGTGTGAGCAGACCGGGCATCACCTGCGGATCCTGCCTCCAGCCACTGCATCTACCACATTCTAGGATAGGACCTCTCTGTCCAGCGGTTCAGGTCTGTCCTCTTTTCGCATCACTAAGGGAAGTAACGGGGACAATTGACCATGGCCTGCCTGGGATTCCTGAGGAGGCAGATCGGGGAAGGGGCTCCTACTGGCTGCAGGTCAGCCTTCACCTGCACCCAGCTGCCGGGAGCCCTGCTAGAGCCCCCGGTCCTCCTGTCAAAGGGGGTTCCCTCCTCCTCCAGAGTCCCTCTCTCTGCTCCCAATGAGCAGGAGGTCTCACCTCCGTGCCCTCATCCTCCACAGTGTAAGTAAGCCCACCTGGTAACCTCTGCCTTTCCCTTTAAGGCCCTGGAGAAGAGTCCCCTCCCCAGGGAGGACATCTGTGACGCAAACACTGGGTGACACACTTTTCCTGAGGGAACTCGTCAGACCCCGGGCCCCTCTGCAGCTCTGAGCACAGCCCCCACCTCAGCCATCCCCTCCGGCCCCTCACACTCAGCCCTGGGAGGGGAGACACACACAGGGCCCCACAGAGCAGTGCCTGGGAGCAGCTGCTCTCAGGGTGACCCCCACACTGGGCACTGCAGACGCTCCTGTGGGCCAGCACACACCCTGGGGACCTGTGAGCGCTCCTCACTGTGACCCCAGAAGGAGCTGCAAGGGGGACCCAAGTCTCAGGGTGCAGGGGAGACTGTGCTGTGTGGGGACAGAGGCAGCTCCTGGGAGCAGGGTCAGCCCCTCAGGGGAGGGAGCTCAGGGCAGGAGCCCCGCCCCAGGGGGTGGTGATCAGGGAGACAGAAGCAGCTGGTGTCCTCAGAGCTGTGTCCTTGGAGGGGACTGTGCAGATGCTGTGGCTGCAGTCACAGACTCCACCATGGGGGTGACAATATAGATTTACTGTCTCGGATCTGAGGGTGACAGTGTGAGATCTGTGGTCCGCTGGGTCGGTGGTCTGTGGGCTGTGGAGGAGGGTCCCCCCTGACTCCCTTCCAGCTGCTGGGGGTCCCTGGCATCTCTGCTGACCTCAGCTGACAGACTCTGCCTCCCTCCTCACAGGGTGGTCTCCCTGGGGAGCGTCTGTCCCCACATTTCCCTTTTTATCATGTCACCCGTCCAGTGGGGTAAGGGCCCACCTGGTCCACTGTGGCCTTCTGTTAACTAATTACTTCTACAACACCCCCATTTCTGGTGATCAGAACAGGGTGGTGGGGACAGTGACCTCCCGGGACTTGTGTGAAGGGCATGTGTGTGTGCACAGACGAGTGTGTGTGTGCCTACAGTGTGTGTGTGTCAGTGTTGCCAAGAAACACTTCCAGTGTCACATGTCCCAAACCCTGGCCCTCGCTCCCCACCACTCTCTGCACCCATCACCCAGGGCCTTTGCCCTGTGTGCCCTGCCAGGACGGGCACGGGGGGCATGGACGGGAGGGGGCAGACACTCACTGCTGCCCCACAGGTGCCAGCCCCGCTCCCAGCGCCTCAGTCCCTCAGCTGTGTGGCCGCAGGGGCTCTTTGTGCCACGCAGTCCCCTCCTCACCCCCGTCACAGACGGGGAGGCTGAGGCCTGGATGCTGGGGCCCTGGGCTGAGGTCACCACTGCAGAGTGTCAGCACGCCAAGGTCCTTCGGCCCCAGGGTCCCTGGTCGTCACCACTGTCCTCGGCCTCTCTTTGTGCTCTCAGTGCTGAGATGTGTGTGCTCCTTAAGGTGCCAGAAAGTTATTTCTCTTATTTCAAAAGCAGGTGACAGATACAGCAACTTGAAGGAAGGTCATATCCAACTGAAATAAAACTTTGAACTACATACGTCACTTAAAATTTTCCAGGAGCCACATTTTAAATATGAGGAAACCAGTGGTATTAGTTTCCAGAACACATTTTGTTTAACTGACTTAGTTGAAAATAGTATCATTCCAATGTGAATTAAATATACAATATTGATGTATTTTCCATTTTTCTTACACTGAGGTTTGGAAAACAGGGACATATTTCAATGTCCCCTCCCCCTCTACGCACACGCAGCCTCTAATGTCAAGCTAAACATTGTAGGATGTCACTCACTCTGCGGACAGCAGGGGGCACTGTGCAACTGCCTTTGGGACTGAAAGGTCCCTTTTCCACTGGGCTGTGCTCAGTGTAAGGGTTTGTGTAATATGCATCTTTTGAAAACATTTGTATTGGGTAAAATCATCTCTCCACTCTGAAACCAACACCTGCACCTTCTTCTGACCTCAGAAAGTTCCTAGCAGGAGGCTGTAGGGCTCAGGACTTAGAGCAGAGCTGAGACAGACACTTGTTGGGGAATAGAGAACAGATTTGCATTCATGCTCCTCCCTCTTGAGCTGCAAGGAAAGGATAAGACAGGGCCTTGGAGAGGCCAGGGCCAGCCGGGCAGCCTCAGGGCAGAGCTCTTGGAAGCCCCTCCCACCATGGACTGGGCTCCTTTGTACCTCCTGCCCCTGGTTTTCTCCACAGGTCAGAGCATCCCTGGGCACTTAGGGGTCCCACTCCCCAACAGTTTCCTTCCAAGCAAGTCTTGAAGGGCATCCGTCCAGACTGGGTACAGTCAGCATCTTCCCTTTATTTTGTGTCTGCAGGTCTCTGTGCTTTGCCTGTGCTGACCCAGCCCCCGTCTGCTTCTGCCTCCCTGGGAGCCTCGGCCAAGCTCACCTGCACCCTCAGTAGTGAGCACAGCAGCTACACTATTGAATGGTATCAGCAGCATCCAGGGAAGGCCCCTCGGTATGTGATGCAGCTTAAGAGTGATGGAAGCCAGAGCAAGGGAGATGGGATCCCTGATCGCTTCTCAGGCTCCAGCTCTGGGGCCAACCGCTACTTGACCATCTCCAACCTCCAGTCTGAGGATGAGGCTGAGTATATCTGTGGTGAGAGCCATACAATTGATGGCCAAACTGGTTAAGCCACAGTGACACAGGCAAAGGGGAAGTGAGGCCAAAACCTTCCTCACCCTGTTCCACCTCCTCAAAGGCCTGGCTGACATGATCCTACCCTCTCCCCTCACATCCTGACTTTGTTGGCTGACTGTCCCATCATCCTGCATGTCCTCCTGGGGACACCCCTAAGGACAGGCAGATGCAGCTTATAATCTAGGTCATTTGGACAAGACAGCATTCTTTGTGTTTCTTCAAACAGGCCTGTGGGGACGATGCTGGGAGAGAGCTGCCCAGCCGGAAGGGAAAACGCCCTGAGAGAGAGGCTCGGCTGAGATGACTGTGTCTCCAGGCGCCATTGATCCCCGTGCTCCAATTGGGTGCTGATCGGGAAAAATGTAGAGACTGCACTTTCAGCAGTGACCATGGAAGGCACAGCAGTGAATGTCCACACTCTGAGTGGACACGGTTTATGACAGGGGTCCTGTCAGGACTGAGGTTCGGCAGGAGAAGCACTTGTCCCTCAGTGGAGGCAGGACAGACACCTGACCCCGTGGTGGGAGCAGAGCTGGGTCCGGGAGGGAAGCGGGTGCCTGTTGGAAGGTCTGGGGCAGAACCTGGGTGGAGCACGGGCTGGGTCCTCCAGCTGTGCTTAACCCTAGCCTCTGGTGGCAAGGAGGGCTTCACATGTGGCCACAGGGCCTTTTAGGGGACAGTGGAGGGCCACGTCCCCTGGAACAGCAGCTGAGCATGGTGGGCAGGGGACACTGACATGAAAATATGTTGATCCCCTTACATCTCAGCACTGTGGTTGCTCCACTTCAAACACATTTCGGGAGCAAGTTTACCGGACGTGTTCATTTCCTCCGTATCTCTTCTGGAAAGTGAAACACCACCCTTCTCTCACACGGCCACAGCCTCAAGCCGTCAGGGAGCAGCCTGTTGTGCACAGTGACTGCAGGACACTGACGCGAGCTGGGATTTCAGGGCTGATCTCCAAATGTCAGGCTGGTCCCAGTGACTGATTCTCAGATGAAGATCCAGGAGCTGCTGGTGGCCTGTGTGACCTCGAAGGGGCAGGAGGGAAAAGGGGGGCTGGTCTCCGGGGAGGGAGAGGACAGGGGGCAGAACGGGCAGGAGGACATGGACTCAGGCTCAGTCCTGCAGTGACCTCGGTCAGCCAAGGGGGCTGGATCACAGGGACCTGGGACCCTCCCCATCCCCCCCCTCCAGTCAGATGGTGTTCTCTGCAAGGGACACAGGGACTTTGTCCCAGACAAGGCTCCCACGGGCCCTCTAGTGGGCGGAGTGTCCTCCACCTCCCACACTGCAGGACAGCACTTCGGGAGGACTGCGGGGAATGAACCCAACCCGAGTGTGGACCACACCTCACCCAGGTCCACGTGGGGCCCGTGGTGCTGGTAACGTGGAAGAAAGTCAGCAGTGGCCTCGATGGACAGAGGGACGCCCTGTGTTAGTGATGTCAGGGAGTACAGAGGGAGCAGATACAGGTGGGCCCGGCTGCGCTTAGATGGTGCCAGCCGGTGAGGGGGCTGCCACTTCACGTCCCGGGTCAGAGGGAGAGAGGGCCCCCGACGGCATTTCTGGTGGTCAAGGTTGTGCAAGGGGTGGACCTCAGTGAGACCACTGTCAGCACCGTCGTCGGAGAGCACCTAACGGTGTGAAGGACAAGTGTCAGTGTCCCCCTGGACGGTTCCCCACAGGGATTCACAGACACCGGGGGATTCTGGGACTAGGAGTCAACGTCCATGTCAAAGGAATTAGTTTCTGTGCTGTTAGCAGGGTCCTCAGAGTGGACATTGGGCAGGGTCACTCTTACAGGAGGGGAATCTCTCATCCTGAAGAACTGTTGACAATTCAACCCAGGGAGCAGCCGAAACCGATCCCAGAATCCTCCTCACCTGGAGACAGGTTAGCTGATAGGGCTGAGAGCGCGCTCAGTGGGCGTCCCGCCCCCGCCCCCCCCCCCCACCGTCTCCTCTGCAGTCTCAGTCCCCTTCAGCCTGGGCGCTCCTGCCCAGTCGGCCACCTTCTGGGTAGTTCTGCCAGTACGTCTTTGCCCCCTGCCCTTTGCTCCCTTGTCACGCATTCCTTCCTCCTCGTCTTTTCTGTGCCGGTGTGTGAGTCTGTGAACGCGCACGGACGTGGTTGCCGGGCTTTCCCCCTTAAAAACAGCAAAACTGCTGCTTTGAGTCCGTCACTGACTTGGGTGCAAGTTCTACTTCGGGCGTCGCTGTGACGGCCTCGCGGGTCAGCACGATGCCTGCGCCTCGGGCGCCTCTCCCTGCAGTGCGATCTCCGATTATTCCAGACTTCCTGAACTCGGACTCTCCGGGGGAGTCTGCCCCGGGTGTGCTCACCCGCCACAGTTTACTTTTCTTTTTTATGGAAATTCAGTTTAATTTGCATACACTGAAATGCTTATTTTTAGTGAGCAGTCTGTGGGTTGTGACAAAGGCTACAGAGCAGTAACACCTGCCACCATCAGGATGTTTCAAGTTCCACCAGTGCCCAGAAAGCCCTCAGGCCCCTGGGCAGTCAGAGCCTCTCCTCGTCCCGCCCCCTGACCACTACTGGTCCGTTCTCTGTCCTTAGAAGTGGCTCTTTGCACAAAAGCCCCACAAATGAGGTCACACAATACAAGGCAGTCCTGTGGCTCTGGTTCCCCTCACTCTTCACAGTCACCTGAGATCCCTCCGTGTTGTGCTGTGATAACAGTTCTTTCCCTTTCATGGCAAAGTGGAATTCCACCACACAGGCGAGCCTAAGGGTGCTTATCCACTCCCCAGTTAATGACATTTGGGAGTTTCTGGTTTCCACTCATTCGCTGCTTCGCATAAAACCTTTACAACCTTTCACAGGTGTTTGTTTGGACATTAGTTTTCATTCCACTCAGGTAAACACCTGGGAGAGGAATTGCGGGGTCATTGTGTGCGTGTTTGCATGAGTGTGCGTTTCGTTGCACGTGATTCTGCAGCAGGTGTAGGTTCATGCCTCCACTGCCGCGGTTAGGACACAGAACATTCCACCACCATGGGATCCCTCCTGCTGTCCTTTTGTAACAGCACCCACTTCCTCCCTCTGAGACCACCACCCCTTGCAGTCACCGATTCATTCTAAGGACAAGATTTCTAAAATCTTGTCTTCACAGACATGACGTATAGAAATGAAAATGGAGCCCTACTGTATTTAGCCTTTTGGGCTTGGATTTTTGGACTCCCCCTAGTCCCCTGGAGGTTCCTCAAAATTACAGCTGCACGAGAGTCTCCTCCTCTCACTGCTGAGCAGAGTCCCACCGTCTGGGCAGACCGAAGTCTGTTTAACTGTCCACCAAGCAGAGCATGTGGATTGCGCTCACTGGGCAACATTATGCACACGGATGCTATGAGCATCATCGTGCAGCTTTGTTAGCATTTGTAGTTAGATATTAACACAGGAAGGGAGCAAAGGAAATCAGACTGTACGAAGTATGATATACTGGGAAACTGAATCAAGTATTGGGTCTGCCTCACTAGGAAGCTACAGCTTCACACACTCCCTGGGGGACCTTTAACCCCACACCTGCAAGAAGGATCTCTACTGGTCATTATCCAGAGAGGAATACAAACAGCAGAAGAAATGCCTCTGCTGGATACATGTCCAGTAGAGGCCACGATGGTGCAGGAGGAGGTCTCACTTTGAGGCACACTCAGTAGGAACTGGGATGTGACCGTAAGGGGGATGAGTCTAGCCTGGGGAAAGGATGGGATTGGATAAGGGGCACAGAGCCTTGGAAAAGCTAGGAAATGGATTGGTTGGGGGAGGACCCAGCAAAAGCCCACAAGAGACTGGGATGTTGATTGGTTAGTTTGAAAGGGCACCTGGTCCTTCCCAAACCCGTGGTAACATATGTTGGGAACCGCCCTGACTGGTATCAGAAGCTGAAACCCCCGCCTAGGCTAGGCTAAGGGAACGCCCTTGGAACCGTGAGCCGGCAAGGAGACAAAAGCTTATCTCCCTGGCAGTAATGCTGTTTCTGCTGCTGAACCCCCAAAAAGCTTGGTCGGTTAGCCAAAGACGGGTAAGATTCCCCACGGGGAGAACAACCCAAGCCAGGCACGATCACTTTGGGAGGCCCCCCCAAAAGAAGGACTTGGGGGGGCTGCAGCAAAAGGGGGGTGATGGACCCTCACTCCTCGGCTTTGACAAAGTCTGAGTTCTCAGCGTCCGGAAGAAAATCTCCTTATCTCTCGGTGGCCTTAGTTCCCTTGCTCCACCTAAGCCTGAAACAATGACGGGGAAGTACAGCTCGGTACTGGGAAGTGCGGATTTCCCGGGGTGATCAGGCCTAAGAAAGAACATGTAAATTACTGTGAAACCTTCTTTGTTCGAGAATGCTCTCAGTTGAATGAGGAGGGTCTTAGGAGGAAGCTAGTTTGTTCCTCAGCCTTACAGCTCTTTGACCCCCCAACTCAATAGACCGGCAGAGTTCTTTGTTTTATATATTCCTTACTTCCCCTAATGAGTATTGTACGTTACCTGAGTTATTATGTAGCATGAGCCCAATAAAAGCAGGTATGGACTGTAAATCGGCGTGCTCCCCACTAGGGGGGGTGGCCATTCTGTCCCTACTTCCCCACAGAAACTAGTCTGTCTCTGTGCATGTTGTTATTTCTCGCGTGTTTATTGTCGAGCCATCCACAGTGTTCCGTGGTCACTGCTAGCCGGTGACCCACGCGCAACAAACATAACCCCAGCTTAACGAAGTTCTTTCTCTACAGCAAGGACCCGAGCCCAGTAGCCATCAGTCGCCTGCCAGCTGTGCAGACTCCAAACACGGGCCTGGGCACACAGCTGCCAGAGCGCAGCCAGAAACACAGACTGAGCCAGCTGAAGGAGGACAGTGACAAAGGCCAGGCTGAACCAATAGCGCAGAAATTTTGGACCTTGGCATTTGTTTGGGGCTTGAGGAAGACAAGACTGGACTTTTTCCACAGCAGGATGGGCACAGATGGGGCATTGGAAACCT